CGCCCGTCAAAAATGCGACGCCGGATGGCACATATGGATCACCATAGTACCGGCTCGTCCCATGCCGTTCCTGCTCGCCAGCAGCGCGAAGGACACGACTGAGTCACTTTTTTGTTTGTGAAGAGATGGCCCAGCGGAAACGAAACTTGAACCCCGTGGACCCTGGACTTATGACGTCACTGTCGGAACTGTTTTCGGTTGCTGTGTGGCCAGCCCGTTCCATACAATCAATAGTTCGGTCAATTGAGTCTTGCCAAAAACAGCAAGCGGCTGAAGTTCGGGAAGACGTGCGCGAACGTGACCTGGTAACACCGCAATGATGGTGCCTTCTCGGAAGTGGAAAGCCTTGGCAACAGCACCGTAATCGTATCTTAGTCACGAATGTACAACTATCAGATACGTCCGCGTGATCTTGGTGCGGGTCGGGGGAAGAGGAATGAATGAATTTTTTTATACGTGAAACAATCCCTCCCAACTCCACCTTCAGGGAAAGGTGATGGTACTGCTTTTAACTAATGCTGGCGCTGGCCCTAAAAATGGCAATAAGGCTCTTGGACCGGACATCCCCCATAGGCCAATAAAGTGTAGCTGCAGTGAATTTTTCTTCGACACAACTTTTCTGCATCTTTGTACTTTTGTTCAGTGTATAAAAACTCTTACACACTCCTATTTGGTTAAATGCATTGAAAAGTGCACACTTTTAAACAATCAAAATTATCCACGTTCTCTTGGACAACTGAGGGCGCTGTTGCTATAAAGTCTCCTGGGGTACAGTCCACTAATTCAAGCCCCATTGAAAACAGTGTAAAACCAGCACTGTTTAGGGCCCAATAACATGCACGCCAACATCCCTAAGATTTCTGAAACACTGAATGAAATTCTTGTCTGGTCACTAATCTTTCAATTTTTTTGTGGGTTGACCAATTACTTTTTTAATTATTCCCACAAAACAAAATCACCCCCCAAAAAGTGATTTTTCCGAAGTCTGATTGCAGCCATTTCTCAAGTGGCAACCCTCAACTTTTTCGGGCACTTAGACCATTTTTCAACCGTAGTTTTTAGCCATTCTGTTCTCATATGAAAGCTCAAAGACCCAGGGAGTTGATCCTGGCAAGGGTTTACATAATCTCACCATTTTGGGAGCCAAACAATCTCCTTGTTCAAAAGATACTGCGGGGCACTTTTAATGCTAATGAGCTGGCCAGAAATTCTCACTTGAATTAGTGGTCTGCACCCCTGGGGAAGTCATGGTTCAGTGCATAGGTATTTATTCACATTGCAATCCCAGAATTTACCGACTGAAAACATTTCTGAGAAAGGGATTGGTGGTTTCTTATTGTTATGCGCATAAAAAACAACGAATCAGCAAAAAGAGAAATATTAGTCCAAGGAAATGTTCAAAAACGCAGGACTTTTTGTGTACAAACCAATGTAACGTGGAGGCTTCTTCCTGAGATGATATCACAGTTTTGTCATGAATATAGATATACTCGTTAGCATAAAACAAAAGGCATTAAAATACCCTTTAAAATTGTGAAACCAACGTTGAAATAAGGTTAACTGAGGCACAAAGGTGCGTTTTACAGGTTTGTAATAAAAAAACATTGATTGCAGTAATAATGATAGGCGTGCGTACGTGTTGTATTTAGCCGTCGCGTGTTTAAAGCTTTGGCGCACCCTTTAATTTGGTGCGAGTAATAATATTGCAACTTTTACCCGATGTGTCTGCAACTGCGACTCGCGGTTCATTTCGTAAACACGGTGATAAAATATAAGGTGACCGTTTCTGGGAAGTGATTGTTTGTTGTGCAGTTTACATAGAGCCACCGTTCGTGGAATATATTACAGAGTAGATTAAAAGGTCGGTTGCATTTTGTTCCATTCGAATTTCCTTGGGCATTCCACAACCATTACGAGAGTCATAAACGGACTGTTTGTCAGTACACCCAATCGGGGGGGGGGCTACTGTGACCAATTGAACAAGCGTTCATTTCATACTTCTGATGTGCTACCCGAACTTTTCTGGATTTGCAAGTGGATATACGAGTCCACATGATATGGGCATGAGAAAATTTGGGGCCGTGGTGAAACTTGCAACACTGGAGAGCAAACCATGTAGTCTATCCCAACATGCAGAAAAAAATACACTGACAGGCCTCAACGATAAAGCCGGTTAGTTGACAGTTCGATTTTTTGGGTTCATTTCATTCAAACCATGCATGTACTTAGCAACTTTGTTAATAGCTATCACATAAAATGATAAATGATTAGATAAAATGATCAGGAAGGGTTTTGATTTCTCATAAAACTTAAACTCAACTCAACTCAAATTTACTTAACTTAACTAAACCAAAGAAATAGTTCATATACAGGTATAATAATTCATGGTGACTACAGAAAGTGGAGGGATCTCATAAGTGAAAATGAAGACTTAGCAACGGTTTCTTTCTTGGTTTTCCCCGCGGGCCGCACGGTAAGCAGGAGCGTCGTCTGCAAGCGTATTTGCATTTTGACTTACAGGAACGAATTAGGCAATATTCATCCGATTAGTATCTCAGCATTGTACGTTTGAATGTCTTCCCTAAGGCAAATCATACTGACTTAAATGGGTGAAATCCTTTTTTCAGGATAATTTACAGTTAAAAATAGAATTGAACAATCCACTAGCTTTCCCCCTTTTCGGTGAAAATAGTACATGCGGAATGATACAGAGGACTTAAAGCCAACACTACGGTTTAAAGGTCAACAGCTGGTGTGATGACAGCCCGTGACAAGGCGTACATACTTAGGCCGCGTGCTAGCCTCGTATAAAACTAGCACGCAGTGTGTGTGGGTTGACTACTTAACTTGGCACGAGTTGTGCTGAGACACGGCTTCCCCACTTCGTCGAACCTTTCTCTGTGGTCGATTATTGCAGTGTTTTACAGCTCAGGTTGGTCAAGAGCCCCTGCAAACTTGTTGCAACCATGAGGGGTGCCTTCTTTGCAGCAGCGCTGGCTCTGCTTCTGTTGAGCTGTGTGTCTGGGCAAGAAAGTCCCGAATTGCTACCGGGGCCAGATGAAGAACCTACGGAAGAACCATCGACAGAGCCTAGCAGGTAAGCATAAGCAGATAACACCAGAAGAAATAACCAACATCGTCATTATTGTACTTTCGGCACCCCCTAGAACAAGGTTTCCTTGTTAAGCTTGACCACCGGAGCCTGAGGTAGACATTTTTCCATAGCTTCCTACAACAAAAGTACTAGTCGTGCTTGTTCAATTGAAAGTATGTTTCATAATCATATGTCAGTACGTGTGGGGTGAATGTAGTCCGATTAACTTGGGCTCTAACGTTACCATGGTTACAAATCGCCTTTTTAATTAAACATTTAGACATGGTCGGCCGGTAGTTAGTAGCTATTACCGCCCGGCTATGCCGAAATGTTAATTAAAAAGGCGATTTGTGGAGTCCCAGTAACTTGGACTAGGGAGTAGGGTAAATGTAAGTTTAATCACTGTTTTTGAAGTGGATAACTTATTTTTCTGTGGAGTGTGGTCATGATATCGATGGTATTCGTATTTTAGTTCTTTTGTTGAATTTAAGTTGAATCACCTTTTTGGTTATTATTTAGATCGTGCACTTTTCATTGTTGGGTCATGCAAATGGAGCTATACTTACATCATGTACATGGGCAGAAATCATTCCATACATGGACACCACTGTTCCCTCCAGTGATAAACCCTCTGAAAACATAATGGCCTAAAAAGTCAAATTTTTGCAGGGAATATATTGAGGTATTCCTTTCCAATGAAAATTTCTATTTGGCCCGATATCCAATTGTCTTTTGAAGTGGGTACAGTAAATTTAAACTCTCTTAGAACAAGGAAATAATTTTCTTACTAACTTGTGGTTTGATATGTACATGTATGATGTAAGTGGAAGTAACTGTGATATGTCAAAATTTATCAACTTTAAAGACATTCACAAATGCAAATGTGGGATTTGTTCAAGTGCTCCATGTAAAGGGACACTAAGCTGCATCTGCGCAATTTTTAGAGGCCACCTTTTTTGAATTCTGGAAAAATTTAATGATGCTGAAATTGTTTGCCAAGATCCAACAGTAATTTGAGTTTTTTAAAGAGCTTGAACAAAATTGCACGAGAAAGGAGGGGGGAAATGCATGTATTGAAGTGTACCATGTAAGGGGACCCCTCTGTATATTGTACTACATTAAACACGAGTGAATTTATTGTTGAAAACTGTTCCTCCATCTGTTGGCTCTGTGTCGTCTGCGAGGAATGTCAAAACAAAGACCCCATGTTGCTTTCTGTGATGCATGCTAAACCTAATTCACAGAAAGAGTTGTCCATTATTATAGATTTTGCACAGGTGTTGTTTCCCCAAGCGAGAGTGTGCAATTCTAGATGAAAATCATACAACGTCAACTAAGCTGACCATGGTTTGAGTCCACTTTATTTGTCCACAATGTGTAAACCACTAGAACACTGGGTTCTTTCTTTAGTTTGATGTAAATGTTTTTTTTTTTCTCACACAAAGTTCATCCTTGGATCATCCTGAGGTTCAAGGAAACTGAATAAGGTTTTAGATCCCTAATTTGTCAGTTGCTTGTTCCCTTGTGCACTTTTAAATCTTCAGTGTTGTGTACTCCTTGGTGAATCCCAACATCAGTATGGATCACCATTCTCTGTTATCACTTAAGCTGTTTGCAGCCAGTCTTTGTGGGATCTATGCCTTTCTTGGTAGTTGAGCTGTTCAGGCCTTTGTAGTTCCTAGTCCCATAACCAGGTGATTCTGAAGTGCTTTGTGTAATGTCAAAGTTGACAGACAAGAGACTTGGCTGTACTAAGCATCAGAGTGGTTTATTACGTGTACTTTCAGGGTAATTGCACACAAAGCCCTAAAATTTGTCAAGTTTACCACAATAGTGTTATGTAATAAACTGCATTTATACCCCATTTTAAACTACTTTTCTAAAGTTTGACTGTGGTGTTCATTACTTGGCCCAGTGAAATTATTGTAATAAAATTAACATGTGTGCCTTGAATCAAAGTACATGGAGTTCTCAACATTGAGGTGAAGGATTGGGATGGGCTTATTGGATCTAAGGTCTGGATGGGGTATGGAGGAGGAGCTATATTGCAGAAAACCCCAGTTTTGGAAAAAATCTCAAATGTACATCCTCACATGTTGGTATTTTGTCAAATTACGTGTAAATCAGCTCAGAGGAGTTCTAGCGTTGTGAAACTTTTTACCGAGAAAAATATTTAATTACCCCTAAAATGCTGTATGAAAGCATTTCATTTCCCTAAAGTGTTGCCAGAAGTTTACTCATTGTTTGACAAGTTATAAAGTTTCTACTTATTTTGTCAGAAAGAGGTTGGTTGCACTGTGTATGATTTAAAAATTTGTAACAGAAAGCTCATAAATTTAGTGCAAAGCCGGTTTTCATGCTGAGATGAATTTGTAACATTTCAAAGTTTTGGGAAAGGTGAGAGTACCTGTAATGTACACCAAGCCTATTGGCACTGTAATTGTTTGGGAAATTCGGCTGAAATTCTTAGAACAAAATGTGAGTGAAGAAGAGAAAGTTAGTCAAGAGAGGGAGTTCGTTTCTTTTAAACACAGTGTCACAGAGTTTTAAAAAAGAAATTTATACTTCATGGATCTTCAGATACAAGTTATGGTTTCATTGAGATGCCAATATCTGCCTGTCCCTTCCCAGCCAAGCTTAAGAACTGCCTGTCCTCTCCCAGGAAATCTTTTGAAAACTGACACCCCATTTTAGTGATACCAGGCCGTATTTCCACTGCATCCAGCATTATGGAAGGAAATAGGAAATATTGTTCACCGAAGTACATATACATGCCAAAGATTTATGTGGAAAAAACTTTGGGGCTTGTGAATTTGAGCGAGCAAAAATGCCCGTCCAAATTTGTTTGTGCTTGTCTTCAAAACAGATGGACAGGTGGCGAGATGGGGCAGTGCGATTAAGCTGTCTGTCCCGACTTTCTAGACTTCTGTTGATAATCTTGCCCAAGTCAACAAATTCCCTTTCTGATGCCAACCTTCCAGTCCTGTTTTGAAGAACAATATCATACTAAGTAATGAGCTTTCTTCCTTTTGGGAAGGGGGACGTTATTTCTTAGCCAGGCTTAGAGACTCGGCTCTGTTAAGTTACTGTCTAGGTCTTTGTCTTGTGGTTTTTCTATTTTGACTTCCAGAACTTGCTTGGCCAAAAACACCATTATCAATAGATCATCTTGAGTGGCATCTTTCCTGTTATCTAGGTCCATCGCTTTTCCTTACTTAGTGGGTGTACCTGCAACTAGTCAATTGCACATGTACATGTATGTTCTTAGCAAAAGAACTGTTTAACTTTGTTCTAGAAGGCTTCTCTGATGAAGACCACATTTGACCCTGTGCTCCAGGTGCTTGCAGTACTATGGAAATGTCCATTCTGAAGCAATTTGTCAAGTGGTCAATTTGCAGCTGTCAATCAGTTCACTCACAAACTGAATGAGCTAGGGGGACCTCACGTTTATTTTACTACATGTAGCATAATCTTTTTTAAAGGTCTTTTTCTTTTAGAGAACTTACGCATGGAAGCAAAAGTCAGCAGAAAAGTCACAAATAATTAACTATAGATCTCAAACCTATGCCTTATTTTACCATCACATTAAATGGCAAAAGTTAGGTGGAGGGTAACTGGCTGTCGCATACCAAGTTTGAGAAGACCGCCATGGAAGAACTTCCACTAGGTGAACTTTTCACCCCAATTTTCTGCCAATTGAATTCAAGGTTTACATTAGCTTCACCCCAAGTTAACCCCAGGTATAACCCTTATAGCAATCTTTCAGTGAGACAGTGATAATGTCCTGCACTTAACCACATCACACAGTATATGGACCCCACATTATTTGTTTTGGTTGCAAAGCATTGAGGTGATGAGTGATATCAAGGAATGATGATGTCTTTGTTGGTTATAGAGATGGGACAATGCACTTAAATTGCACTCACAATGTTATTTAACAGATTTGGTATGAATAAATTGATAATCTAAGTCATCTACATGTACGTGTATCCACATGACACCCATATGAATATTATGACACGAGAAGGTAAAACACAATAGCAGTTTTGACAAACAGAGAGTGAGGGTGCAGGGGAGGAGGTCCTGACTTGCGAGGTGGACCTTGGTTTGTCTCCTCCCCCTTTTTGGCTTTAAGTTCACAAGGGACAGAATGTTAAACGCACATGAAGAAATACATATAAGTAGCTTGTCTTTTGTAACGGGCAATGGTAACAGCTACTGACAGATATTTGCAAAGTGCACCAGTACCATATTGTTTTGAAGGTCAGCATGCAGACCCATGCACTTTACTTTCAAAGTCAAACTCTGGGTAACTCAAACTGCATGTAACTCAAATCTTCATGGAATTCCTCAGCCCTCGTCAGTGCAGTGAAATCTGGTTACGAAATAAAATAGGATGATGCATTGTTCAGTTGTGCGTATGCAGGAAGACTTGACGAGACCAAACAACTTTAGAAACAATTTGTTTTTTCTTTTCTTTTTTCTCACTAAGGTTTGATATAGGCTATCTGATCATGGCTCCCAAGGTGATGACGGCAGAGACCACTGAAATTGTCTGCGTCCGCCTGCTGAACATGACAGGGCCCATCACCCTCACCATCAGCCTCTTGGAGAGCTCAGAGACCAGGGAGGTCCTGACCTCACTGCAGCCCTACTTCATGGAGTTCTCCTTTGCCTGCCTGAATCTGGAGGTCAGTTTCAGGTCTTTGGATTTCCCAGTGAAAAGTCCCAAACTGTGTTTTTCTTAACAGGTTGATGTTGCAGTATTGTGACTATAAAGTCAGTACATGTATGTGTAGTATTGTGCATAAACAGTGACATATATTTGGAAAGAAACGAACATGCTACTCAACATTTTCTACTACTGAAAGCCCTTTCCACAGAGCCAAAATGACTGAAAAATACACTGAGTAGTGTGGTCTGCACATTTTGAACAGGGGTTGATTTTGCTCTGTATTTAAAGGTTATTGTGAGAGTATGCCTGGGATGCAGGGAAAGATTACAGAGATAGGTTACCAAAGTGATTTATAGGATTAGAAGGATTAAGTTTTGGTTTGGCAAGTGAGTTGATCAGGTTTTTTTTGTGGATTGTCCCTCCCTCCTTTCGCCTTTTACATGCAGGTTCCAGCCATTGATGGAGAACAAATAGAAGCAGTGTTCCAAGTTGAAGGACAGGCAGAGCTGGACGCTTCGCAAGCTTTCAGCGAGAGCAAGAGGATTTGGATTAGAGGAAACAACTGGGAGAGCTTTATCCAGACTGACAAGTCCATCTATAAACCAGGGCAAACTGGTAGGTGGTCTGTTTATGATGCTTGGCTTATGCACTTTTTTGTAAGTTACTCTCAAAATTATGACTGTTGATCAGAATTTATTGAATGGTGTAAACCTTTCGATTAAGCCATTTATAAATGCAGGATTTAACATGGAATCCTCTTCTGTTGTCGGAAGAAAAAATTTGTGGAGGCTTTTGCTGAATTTAAATGCTACTTACAGAAAATTAGAGTACATTATTTTTATTTGATCATGTTGGCTGTCACAGCTCAGTACTCAGTATTGATACATGTCTGAGCCTCACCTTTTAACAAAATATTTAGAAAAGAATAACAGTGTCGGGAAAAACATACTGGGGAAGTAGCATGACACATGCCAAGTTGCGTTAACCACAAGAGTGCATCACCTGACATTCACACTGAAGGACAAAGAGAGGAAATAAAGTTGTAGTGATGTAACGTGGTGGTACGAGGGCGTGAGAAACATTTCACCGAACCAGTGGCATTGAAAGTAAACTGATTTGAAGTGTAGTTGTGTGCTTTCAGTAATTACCCACCCTTTCCCAATCAGAGCTGTGTACTTTAACTAGCCACACAACAGCAATCAGCCTTCAGTCTGCCGTTTTCCTAAACCTCCGGCGAGACTTGTGTCATCAGTTATTGGAAACTCAGAACCGTGTGGGTGGGGTTGTGCGGTCAGAGGCTAATCATGTAATGGTTTGGTACCTCTCTCAGAGGGGTACAGCCAGGACTCTGGTTTCAACTCCAATGACATTGACACTGAACTCTGCCAGACACAAATGAAACACAAGCACACTTGGCTTTTCTCAGCAATCTGATACTATTGTTTGGAGTACAGTAACTGCAACCTTGTCTTGGCAGCAAGTTCTTAAGTTGATATCTTTACCTTTTTTATACTATAGTTTTGGATTTCCCCCAAGACACCCATTAACCAGACCCTAGTCTGGTTCATTTGGGGAATATTTTTTTAAGTTATGGGGAAACATGAATCACCTTACAGTCACAGAATAGTTTTTCTGAGTTTTTCTCTCTATCAGTGCCAATGTGTACAGTTTACAAAAGTGCACACAATTTGGCCTTGGTACATGTGACTTCACTGATGTACTTTTTCAAGGCACAAAAACATTTGTGAATATGGCAGGAATTTCTGACCTTGAACCAAAGGTAACATTGTCATCCCAAAAGGATGCATTTGTCTAAAATCCAGTCACACAGCAACTTTTTAAGTATGCAATTGCAATAGTACTATTTAAAGAAATTAATTACTGTGTAGGCCCTCTGTATATATCTAAAACTACAGCTGAACAATCACACTTGGCAGATTAGAGTTGGAAGATTTTGCCTTTTCCCCAGTATTGCAGTTTGAAACAATTTTCATTTTGTTTTGTTTCACAGTGAAATTCCGCATGCTGACAATTGACCAGAATTTCAGACCAGACCTGAGTCAGGTAAAATGGAATTGGTTATAGCCAATTTATCCTTACTACGAACGGGAAATCTCTTTTCCACTGTGTGAAATGTATAGTTAACTGATGCACACAAAGTCCTTTTAAATACTCTCCAATGTACAGCCAGTGTGAAACAGACTTGGCCACTACATGTACATGTATACAGTGATTTCTTTTCAACAGAGCTATAATGTCCTGGATTTAGAAGGTAGCAGTGATGAATATTTTGTAGGCACACTTTTTCTGGAGCTTTATTCTCATCTTTGACATGTGAAAACTATTTAAAATTCCTTTCAGCTTAAATGTATTGAAAAGGGCAGTTTTTATGCACATGCAAAACTGATCACACTTTCCTCTGTAGTGTTGTCATGCAGGAAAGACATGGCTATGTGCATAAGGTTTTCTCTTCAAGTTATAAACCCAGAATTTACTTACTGACAACATTGCTGAGAAAGGGTTGCTCTCTAGCTTATTGAATCGTCAAAGAAACAAAAATTCAAGCCAGCAAGGTATGAATCCAGCAGTTTTTTACACAATTTTTTAATCAACGTCGCATTAAGATTTTCTTCCTAATATGTGCTCAATATGCAAATATGCTCAATAGCATAAAAATCAAAAAAGGTAGCAAAGCACCCATTAAAGTTGGTGAAAAGTAGCTTCATCAATATACAAAGGTGGATTTTGAAGGTTTGCATTTAAACAAATAAATGTATTACAAAACCCTTGAAGGCTCCCAACTCTGATACTCTGGTACATATATGCATCCCATATCAGGTGTCCAAACTTTGGGTGGAGGCACCAAGTGGTATCCACATGGCCCAGTGGCTGAACATAGATACCGAGGCCAATGATGGCATCATTGATCTGGAGCTACCTATGACCTCTGACCCACCCCTCGGTCAATGGAAGATAACAGCTGTCCATCGGGGCAAGGATGTCACACAGACATTTACCGTGGATGAATATGGTGGGTGTTAAATATGGTTATATTTCATCCATACTTATTGCAGATACAAATTTCCTAAAGCAGTTGATTTATGGAAGAACCAGTTTTTCTGCAGACTAAGTCTTACAGTGCAACTTCTCCAAGAAACAAGAAGGTGGACTTGATGATGTTTTCTTGTATACAGAGTTGATCCACAAATTGGTGTGGATACAGATGAGTGTTTTCAGTTCAGCTACAGCGGACGGGTGAAATGAAAGAGGAATTAGAAATGTTGGCCATTAAGGAACTGAAGTGTCATAATTCTACTTTCATTTTGGCATCTGTTCTCTCTCACATTGTAGTCTTACCCAAATTTGAGATTGACATCCAGGCCCCCACTTACATCTTAGTGAATGAATCCAGAATGGATGCCAGGATTTGTGCCAAGTAAGTATTGGCTGTATCCATCTATATAAGCTTTTTTCTTGCCGTCAGTTTTGTCAGAAAAAATAGATAGTTATTCCACCAGGTAAAGACTAGATTGACCCCATTTTATTCAGCTGTTGGTTATTTTATTAGCCTGATAGCTTAGCAAATAGTTTTTAGTGGTTGTAAGGGTTTTGCAGGCCTCGAAGGTAAATTTGCATAGACTGCATGCTTACCTAATCAGTGGGTTCCATCTTTGGCAAATTACACTGATTATCAGATATGCTTATATCAGGGTTATATACGAAGTCGGTCACCTTGATAGTTTTTGCATTGAAGGCAGTACTAGTACCAGGCATGAAACAGACGGTGTGTAAAGATCAGTGCGTGGTATTAAGTATATCGTGAGTGATATACCAAGGAAGGAAGTCTCATAGGAGGCTGTAAAGATGGAAGGCTGGATATTACATGTACTCTATAGACATTTGAAGGAGATCTTACCGTAGAAGTGGAAAATGTGATGATCATCAGGAAAAATAGACCTTATTCGTGGTCAAGCCAATTTTGAATGTGTTTCCAGAATCTTTGTCATGGTGCCAGACTGTTTTTGGTTCCATGCCTCACCTTTTTTTTGAATGTTTTTGAAAATATTTAGTCATATTTTTACATTACTCATCATCATATTAAAATGAACTTCATCTGTAGCGAACTTTTATTTCACCGCTTTGATTTTTATTCTGAGGTTTCCAAAGAAAAACAGTTGACTTCACTCCAATTCAGTGTTAGTACCAACTTGTAACTAAGGTCAATTGAGCCATTTGAATTTATTGAAGCATACTTTCCTCGTCATTCCCCTCTCAATTCCTTAAGTTTGTCTTGAGACTCAGAAGTAGCTTTGATACGAATTTTTTCTGCGTATATTAGTTTGTGTAACAAAATAAAAAAAAAGCTGTCAGTGTGTAGGCCGAATACCGAGGGAAAGGCCCCACCATAGAAAAATCTCCCACTGTTGAGGAAGGCTCCTGGTACACTCACAGTTGGTGTAATTAATTGACAGCCAGGTTGCAGACAAAACCACCCCAGCAAAGGCAGCACAAGTGTTGTTGCTTCTCTCACAGAAATGAACTTGTGCCTTGTTAGCATGCTCTTGGGACCATAACATTGAAGGAGCAATGAGGGCCTCGATTTATGACTGCCTAATATTACTTCAATCCATCCCCCAAAGTGATTGGGCTGAACAGCTGGAACACTGTGTGGGGTGATGTTGAGGGGAACTTGGTGTTTACATTCCCCTTGTTATTGTGCACAGCTGTTACATAACCACCCAGCAGTCCTGTGATTTTTCTGATTATGGAGGTTGCATGGCAGCTATACAGGTTAAGTTCCTCAGTTTTGTCCATAGAGTGATTGTTCCTGTCATTGACTGCTCCTGTCAGGTAAACTGAACAATGGAGATTTGACACCTAGGAGGGTGCTTCCTGCTGCGGTGTCCATGTTATACAAGGCTGGGGCCTTTAATGAGTCTCAGCTGCCAAAGACTGTAGAGCTAGACTCATGTGAGAAGACATTTACCGGAGAAAAAATAAGAAAAATATAAAAATTGGCACACCACCAATTTGAACTCAACCCAGTTTCCTTCTGTGTGTCAAGGTCTCGTGAGATCACACTATACATAAAAAGAGTTCTCTCTGGAAGACGCCTCAGTGGTCATGAATTGGCTTCAACAAAAACATTGTGCGCATATACAGGCCTACATATCTCTGTTGATGATGTGAATAAAGAAAAAACTTTTCCATTGTTCTTCTCTAATGCCAGGGGCACTGCTTGTCTGATGTTAAATTTATGATTCTTTTCACAGATAACGGATTTCCTGTGCAAATTATCATGCAGTTTCAAATGATGTTAAAAGAAACCAAAAGTTGTTTCTCTCTGTTTGTAGTGAAGTTCCCAAGAAATACTACCAGTCTAGAAGCTAACAGTTTATCATTCTTAACAATAACATGGCATAAATTGGGGGCTTATTTGCTCAGAAGTACCCATATGTTGGTTTGTACACTTAAGGTTAGACACACGGGGCGAATTGAAATTGAATTCACACTCCTTTGAGGTATTTGTTTGACAACAGGTACACCTATGGACAACCAGTGAGAGGTTCCTTTGGGGCTGTTATCTCTGTGGCTAATGATGGCTGGAGTGCAAGACCTAGGGCTGCCATTGAGTACTTCATAGAGGTATATTTTCCAACCCTGTTGACTCGAGAAAGTGAACAAAGTCATTTTGAAAGTATTAGGCGATATTTTCTTTTTCGTTTTTTTTTAGTCGCGTGAAGTTTCTCTGTACTTATTGAATTTGTGGTTAAAAAGGTTAATTTTAAAATTCTATTTGTTTTCTCAGGTGTTATGTTCTGCAAAGTTTTTTTATGTTATTTGCCGCAAAACTTTATTTACAACTATACCCAGAAGTTAACTGTTGGAGTTCGTAAGCTGTTTTATCTGAATGGAAAACCACATAAACCTGTGCTTCCCATCTCCTTGATGGATGCCAAGTTGGAATGAACATTGTTTTTTTTTATCTGAAATTTGGCACTGAATCAAACTGCCTGATTTGGAAACATGTCTTGTCAAAGGCATCCATAGTATTTTATCTCCATCCTGTGCGTGGTCGTATTTACATGAATGTTTCCCCCCAGCTGTATTTCCTCTCTTTATCATTTCCTTGTGGTAAAAACATTTTGTCACGTGCACAGCATGATACAGAGTGTCAACATTTTAAACGCAGTATTTTGTAGGCTTATGCTTGGTGTTTACAGTGTGCCTGAACAAAGTGCTATTGGAAATTAGACATAGGCTGGGAAATCCTACTAAATTTGCCGTAAAAAAGGACATGATCAGGAATCTGTTATTTCATGATTGCCTTCTCAGTTGCTTGCTGCTATAGGGGTAAAAAGCAAGTTACATGAATGTTTCTGAAGCAGAAATGTAGCCAAATTTGTGCGAGTCTGGTATTATTACTGGGGCCATGGTAGATATTTTGCATAGCTTAGGTAGGAATTTTCTTTCAAAACAAGCTTTTATTCATATTTTATTTCACCAGGAATTTTGGTTCGTTATTTTTACAGAATTCCAGTTGACCCTGTGGTTAGTTGGTTGGCACGTTCTTTGGTTTGGTAGGGTCAGTGGCTTTTATTGCATTGTTTGTCCCAAAGGGCATGCCCTACACTTGGGTGTAAATGGAACAGACATGAATGCGGATATCATAAGACATCTCCCCCCCATACAGGATACGGGAAGAGACGGCTGCCAGGATATTGTGGTAGAAGTTTACCGCCTGGAACTGAACAGCACTGACTTTGGTTTGTGGAATGCTAGGATCCATGTTGCCGTGGAATTCACCGAGGAGACAACAGGTACAGAAATAAGAAATGTTTACAAATTGGTGGACATTATTTATAGAACGAAATTTAAACATGTGCATTTTGAGCATTTAGATGCTTTATTCAATATGGTTTTATATACAAAAGCATGGGTCTCTTTTTCTTCTTGAAATTCAGCAGCAGCCAAACTCTCGTTTTGCCACCTCTCACCTAATTAGTTTTTAAGTTAAGAAAAGTTTCCTCTTCACAAGAGTCACTTAAACGTGATGTGTTTTTTGGGGGTTTCAACCCAACTTAATGCAGGTATCATGTTGTCTGAAGAGAAGGATGTCGCCAAGGTGTCAACAGAGGCACTGAAGTTGGAGTTCAAGGCACCGCCAACATTCAAACCGGGTGTTCCATACTATGGAAAGGCAAGTGGACTTCAAGGAGCCTGTTGCAAAAGTGTCTGTTGTACACATGTCGGGGAAGGGGGGGTTGATGTAGTGATGCATTGTGGGAACCAGCTACCCTGTTGAAATGAAACCCACGTAACTGGGTACTCTAACCCTAATTTCAAAGATAAAAGAATGATAAAACATTTGCATTTTATCAATTCTGTCTTACCCAGAAATGTGCAAAAACAATATGACAATCTTTGGACACATGTTTCTTGAAGTTCACTCACAGAAACTTGTTGAAACCTTTCCGTTTCCGTGTCACATTAGCTGCTTAGTAATTCAAAAAGTTGCTTTTTGATACCTGGTCTAATAAGTAGGTACAGGTTTCTGACAGCGTCAGTCAGGTACCTCCATGTAGTTATCCAGTTCCAATACACAACTCTGAGAGAGTGCCATTTGAGAGAGAGCTTTTCAAAATTCAGTTCCCAATTTTAGCAAAGGCTTGGGCTGTGGAGGCATGAACAAGAGAGCATATTGGGACTATACGCTGAAGACACGTGCTTGCTGGCAAGCCATTAGGCAAGGAACACGTCAAACCTGAAGCATCCTGTGGGCTCTGGGCAAGTGGCTTCAATAGCCTTTGAATGCTGTCCCTCCAAACTCCCCCCCCCCACTTCTCTATTTGTCATGAGTGAGAGTGTGTGTGTGTTCAGATTTGGTAGTTCGTTACCTTGAAGGAGCTTTGTCAAGTATCTTGCAAGAGTGAAAAAATTGGGGAACTTGTATGTCTCATTGTTATAAGTAATGCATTGATATTTTGGCTTCATAAGTGGTTAGCTCTCTCAGCAATATCAATTTAAGCTTTCGGAAAGGAACATTGATTTGTTAACGGCAAACCTAAGAAGTCAGAAATCAATTTGAAGAACATTGTTGGAGGAAAACTTCATGCTTTCACCAAAGGGAAAGTTTCACCCAAAGAGATCGACAGTGGAGATGCTGACAGTGCTTGGCAAGTAAATGTATTACTTGGCATTAATAGATCCAGCTATATATACCATGCTTTTCTTCAGATCATTGTAAAGAACCCAGATGACTCGCCAGCTGGGGGTAAGACAATAGAGCTCACTGCAGACACCAATGAGGGGCGAGTGTTTGATGAGATCCTAATCTCTCCACCCAGTGGCATCATTGACTTCGCGGCCAAGAACATCTCCATCCAGTCATCCAGCCTTAATCTATATGTTAGTGTCATAGTTTTTTACCCTTGCTTGATTTCACCTCATCGACCTTTATCACGATGCTGCTGTGTTCGTCTTGCTCCCTGTAGCCCCTTTGGCAAAGCAATACAACTTAACATATTGATAAAAGGGAACGGAGTAATTGTCCTTTCAGACTCGGTTTAGTTACATTTGTTTGAATGTTAGAAAAGCAAAATAGAGGTCTCTAGTCCCCCAGCGCATTGTTGCAATGGTGAACATAGAATATTCACCATCAGGAACCCTTGAGATATCAGTTGTTCTGAATTGCCGTGGATTTAAGTAAATGCCATTTGCCACCCTATATTTTACTTTATACACCACCAGAATGTCATCCAAGTGGGAATCGTAGATCATATGGCATAAATTGTGTAGTATAATACATGGCACGACCATGATTATACCAAATAACCCTTACAAGATGGGGAAATTTCGGAACTCTTAATGGTTATGCTTCTTTAAGGAAGAAGTTCAAAAGGTTATCAAATAATTAGAGCAAATTATAAAGCAGAATTATCTATTTAATCATAAACTAAGACTGATCATGAAAACTTTGTGTTGCATATTTACCAACACATTAACTAGCGACTTGTACATCATAATTTCAAGTGAATTCAGTCTTTGTGTAAAACAGTGACAGACTGAGTGTTCTAGTTCTGTCTTATGACATTATTTTTACCACTGCACTCGTGAAACATGCATTTGAGGCCTTAATTTTTAAGTCACCGGAAACAAAATAATAGTTTCTTGACCTGGGGTTAGGTACCAGTATCAGTTTGCCTTTGTGGTGTCACCTAGATTTGTGTGCAAATCATCTAAATTCGCTTGACTTTTAGCGAGAGAGGGCGGTGTTGTGGGTAGGGCTCGTAGCTCATGAATGGAGGGTCGGGGACTCCAATCTAGCTGTTGGTCCAATACTGTGTCCTTGGGCAAGCCATTTTACCCCAACTTGTTTTTCTCCACATTATTTCCACTAGCATCGCATTCAATAGGAGCAGAATCGTTCTCAGTTCTGTCAAGACAAGGAATCCAGGAGAAAAAAAAATTTACTTTTACTACCACCTTATCACAGTGACAACTTAAAACAGGTGTTAATACACTAAATTTTCTTCTTTCTCTCTGACATTTCTTTATTTTTCCCACTCAGGCCAGAGCACCAGGCTATGACAACAGGCCCGATGATTACTCATATGGTGGCCGGTACCGTTACATGTATGACCCATCTGTGTCATTGGGGGCCCAGCCTCAGTACTCGCCCTCAGGCAGCTTCATCCAAGTTGCCCCCATTCTGGAGACAGTGAACATTGGCACTGTGCAGACCCTCACCATTGACTTCACAGCCAGGGAGGCAGAGAAAGAGAGTATTGATTTCAACTTTCTGGTATGTCGGCTTTCTTGGCTGGTTAGGTTTATAATTGGCACAAACTAAAGTGAAAGTGTGCACCATTCAGGAATCTTCTGAAGTCCTACTATAGTGGAACACCGCTATAACAAACACAACGGGGTCCACGCTAAATGTTTGGTATAGTGGTCATTCGGTATAGAGAACTTAACTGCCGAACATTTCGGTGCCATGTTGAATAGCGCCTTGTTTAACTGAAGTGCACCCTCTTGTGATACTATGATTCACTGTTTTTGTGATGTTTTGCCGTAGCATTCACGTTTGAGGTTTCTAGAAATGTATCTGTTAATTATTTTTGTTTTTTATTAAATCTTGAGTTACAAAATTGATATTTAGTTTATCCTAAAAGTCGTGAAGCTACCGCTCAGGATCGATCTCTGATGCATGCTGTGGCGAATCTCGGTTGATTTGCAACTGCATAATGTTTGGTAGGTTTTGTGCACAAAATAATGGGAGCCAAGGACGATGTTCGGTACAGCTGAATGTTCGGTATAGCGGTGTTTGGTAAAGTAATGTTTCACTGTACTAGCATGTACAATTTCTTGGATGAACAAATGTTCCGTTTAGACAGGCCCGGAAAGCGTCTTGTTGAGGTAGTAGTGTGACTACACCTCCTAAGCCTCTAGTTTGGTTACTGGTTGGGAAAAAACTCTGTGGGAGTGATTGACCTTTGACATTTACCAATAAGGGGACATATTAGGTGTTCCAAACAGACCACTTGCATTGGCCATCCTTTATTGAGTTGATCTCGTTGAGCTCCCACTGTCATTAGGTTCGTCTCTCATCTCTGTGACCCGCAGTTCATGTCCAAAGGAAACATCCTCGGGACTGGTGTTGATAGCCTGGTGCCAGTGGACCCTAACACGCACCAACGGACTGCTCGACAAGCTGGGGAGGAGGAGCCAGAACTTGATCTGGTTCCATCTTCTATCATAATTGAGCGTAGCGTCATTGGTTACCCTGACAGCGAGATCTCTGAAGGTGGTAAGTTTTAGTCGGTTTTAGAATGTCATGCAACATGTGGCGATGGAGTTGATATTTTCTCGTATAAATGTGGTCAGTTTAAGTTGTACAGATACGGTAATTTCAGAGTGAGCGTAATTAGTTTACGTGTACCGGTAGAGGCTATTTTCACAGGGAATTTTGTGCACAAGAGCTTTGCTCAATAGCTGCAGGCTTAATACCAGTAAAAATATGGTGTGGTATTTGTGTGATGATCCTCCTCTAACTTTTGTTGAGCAAGTGAGCATTCCAAAGGAAGCCGACAATGATATGGTCATTTGCAGATTACCGAATTTAATATTAGTAGTTGGGCCATATTTTAGTTCATTAACAGCGTTGGGCCACTAAACTACATCCAGCACCCATGCACAGTATTAAAGTCTGTCGCGACTTGCATAGGCACAGACTAGAAAAAATGAATGACATGTGGCAAATGCTAAGGTCCCTAAAATAATATCAACTTTATAGACATTAGGTGACATCTGCAGCGAAATACCAGTATATACATTCTTCCAGGGTTGTAGCTATGTTGGCCGGCACCGGCCGGTGCTAGCCATGACTCAACATCACCGGCCGGTGGTTGAAAATGAAGCTTGCTGGCCGACACAAATTACAATGTATACTACATTATTGCAACTTTCTAGCACTGAGAGAGAAAATGGGCCTTTTTATTTTGTAAAAATTGTCACTTTGTTTTGATTTTATAGAGATCTCACCGAAAGAAAGTTCTAAATAAACGTCATTCTCCAAGTACTTGCAGAGTTCACCTGCGTAATGTGCTACATACGCAATCGTTGGTTTCTATCACAGAATGTCCATGCTCAATCTGGTTCCCAGACCAAAAGATTCTGACTACCGTAACTTTCGGAATATAAGCCACAGCTCACACGTTGCTTCTCATGCCGAAAAATGTCCTTGCAGCTTATACTCCAGGCAGCTTCTACGGCAACACGTGTTCACAGGCCGCTTAGACTTGATTGTGTACTTGAAATCGGCGTGGACCCAAACGTTGGGCACTTTGGAGTTTGTGTATTATTGAATTATTACCTCCAATTTTACATAAGTTGAAATTTAGTCAAACTCCAAATACTCTGATCAATAAATGTTAATTTCATACACCCTAGCAAAGTTCTGATGAACTTTTATTTTGGCCCGACTTTCCAATTTTTTTATCTTAAGTGCAAAATGAACTCGATTAAAATCCGCTCTGAATTTTTTTTTCAAAATTTTTTAGTTGGGTATGTAAGTGGAGGATAATAATACATGTAAGTTGAGTTGATGTGAACAAAGGTAACTACATGTAACTAATAACACACTAATTCTTATTTTTTGCATTAATTTTATTTTTTATTTGTTGTGGTACATGTAAGAAGATTTTCCCATGCAGAAAGGAATAACGTGTCCTAAAAAGTTATTTTAAACTAGGGTCACAGGTGTCAGGTGATCTGAAATGGAAATCTTTCCATATTCGTTGATGCGCATTCAGTGTACAAATGCACATTATGTACACATCCATGTACGTGTTCATGGTTAGCTCGCGAGTGCATACAACCAGCACACGGTGCAAAACAGCGAGCACTAAACATTCCTAGCTACAACCCTGCATGTTAGAAAACTCAAATTTATAAGAAATAAACAATCAAGCATCCAAAATGCAAAGTTTTTGATCCCCACAATGAGTCTGACCTGTCCTGAAAAATGGAATCATACACACATTTAATTATTTTTTTGGTTGATGGTATTTCTCTCACACTGGCTTGGCTTGTTATTTCCCTGCCGCAACTCATCCCGCACCCCGCACCCTAACTAAACAACAAACTGTCAGCATCTAGCTCCCAATTCAGCTTCATTAAACCCCCTAACACCCCAGAGCCGCCCGTGGTCATCGTCAGTCCGGGAGAGCTGAACACCGTTGAAGCTCAGATCACCATCACCCCAGAGATGATTCCGCTGACCCGCGTCCTGGTGTACTACATCCGCAAGGACGGTGAGGTGGTGACCGACAGCCTGGCCATCAACGTGCAAGAAGTGTTTGAGAATGAGGTAGGTCCAGCCCGCCCTGAATCGAAGTGCTCCTTCACCGGCTAAAGAAGAGAGGCAGGCTGATGGGAAGTGCTTGCAACCTGGCTCATTTTGTTTCGACACGGTGCACGCTTGAAGACCATGCACTCCAACAGAAATTGGCAGCACGCGCCCAGTGCAACCCTTGCCGAACATGCATAAACCTTCGCGCGCATGCTGTGAGGTCTCACCAAAGGACCCTCATTGGTATGTAAAATTGCACCATCCCTGGTTGCTGCAGGGAGCAAATGGCATAAAACTGTGACGAGGAGCATGTCATTCAAAATCCAATGATCTGAATTGCAATCGCTTGAGATTATTTTGTTTTTCCATTCCTGTTTGTTAGTCAACTAAGAGGTAATTTTATATCAAGCAAGATATGGGACAGAGGGGTACCCCCTCCTACCTGTCCATTCCCTATACACACTCTAGACTATTGTTACTTAACACACCCCCCTAGAAGTCTGTAAAGAATTCCTGAGATTCCAATCAAAAATGACCAACACAAAGGCGGGGGGGGGATTTCTCTCCGTCCCATATCTTGCTTCACATGGGTAATTTATACAAGTAGGATCATTGGGGAAATTCTAGCCCTGCCCTCAAAAACTGATCCAACTTGAAAAGCCAGCATTTTTTTCTCACCTGGACTTTTTTTTTTTGCTTTTGTTGGTCCTCAAGAGGCCCATCAACCATCCTGGTAACCATAAGGCTGAAGAATATAAAGGATGCAATTACCACACTGCACCTGCCTTAATTAGACTCCCTCCCTCTGCGTAAAAGCAGCTGTCAAATGACAATATCTATTTGAGCATAGCTGGAGGTTGAAAGTGTTGAACTTGGCAGAAGGAGGAAAATTGGACAACTTAAAGGCATACCCCTATGGTACAGGAGAGAATCAAGGAACAGCTGTAGTTTAGTGTGGCTTGGCATGGGAATTGAACCAGGGCCACAGTTGTTTGAAGCACCCTTACCCTGAAACTCTGTCCCAGTGTTCATAAGCTACACTTGTTTTGAAAATCCTCTATGTTGCCTTTTATGGGCTATTTAGGGGTGAGGCTGCATTTTTGAGCGTTTTATGCACTTGTGGAAGAGATGTAGAATAGACCAAGATTTTCCTGTCTTTATTAAAAACAGGAGTTTTGCTGCTTTCTTTTTTAGTGGGGGGGATAGTCCCTGCTGCCCTTCCCATCCACCAGGGACTATCCTGTGCTTAATCTTTATTGTCCAACTTAATTTGACATGCCTCCTGTCATAGTGCTTTGGAAGATGTAGCACAGCAAAGGTTTCAACCAGTTGCCATGTTCAATCCATGCCTATCTGTTACTTCCACAGGTGACCATGGGCTTTATCAGTGACGAGGCAGCTCCAGGAGAGACGACCCAGCTCGTGATCCAGGCAGCCCCCGGGTCTCTGTGTGGCGTGGGTGTTGTCGACAAGAGCGTCCAGCTCCTGGGCGGAGACAACCAGCTGAAGAAGAGCAAGGTATTCCGCGCTGTGCAAGATTCTCTAGGGCCGCTATTTCACGGGCTGCAGAGCAGAAGATGACTCTCGGCAAAAATACGTGCTGAGAAACTGTTATGATTATTATTTATTTACCCACACTTCGTGGCCAATGAGCCAAATTATATGCGAGTTTACAAAATTAAGAAACTATCTGCCGAGAACCAACTACAAGCATTGTAGATTATACGGCATTGAAACTGGTAACCTGAGCAAACTGAAATTGATTGGCATTAGAATATTGTGAAGTGAGTGCATAATGACCATTTTGTGACCCAGTCTGACAAAATAAGAAGCAAGTTGCCTGAAGCACCTTTAGAGAAAGTTTTCAAGAGAATCTCCCATAACGTATTCAACTTGGCAAGAACCCTCAGCGTTTTCAACTGCATAATCTTCAGTTTTCATCACAATACCAAGCTGAGTGTTACACCAAAAGAAAGAGCTTAGTCTGCCCTTTTATAATAATAATTTTATAATAATGTTATAAAATTACAAAAATAAAAGTGCAAAATGATGAAATGGCCACATGATCTCATTTTGGAGGAGTTGGTCTCGTTTGAGGCAGGTTTGTGGCTGAGAAGAAGCCATGACAACCTGTCAAAAGGCAACTTCCGAAAACCCCTTGCTCCCTTTCTTTTTTGTTTTTGTTTTATTCTTCCTGCAGGTGTTTGCATCTCTGGAGAAGCATCAGCTTTCTGATAAGGATGGCGAACTGGATCGCAGCAAGCACTGCCCTGAACCCATCCCCTGGTGGAGGCGGCTTCCATTTGGTCGCAGGAAGAGGAGTTCCCCCCTCATCTACCGTCCCACACAGACCTACAAGGACGCGTCCCTGGCATTCCAGGTAAACTCCGGGAAAGGGTCCAATGCAATTCTTAAATGGCTTTGAAGCTTTTCTTCCAGAAAAGAGCAGGTGGCACACCATCTGTCATCTGAAATGGTTGTTTGAAACTACCGATTTTCATTGCTTAAGTTGGGCAGTGTTGCCAGCATTGAGACTTTAGCATGATCTCTGGCGAACCCAGAGTTTCCCTTCCCGTAAAAAGGGGGCAGTTTATGGCAGATGGTTCATTGGTAAAAGCATATGACGTCCTGGTTGCGTCAGATTCAAACTCCAATTAATTTCTTTGTTCATTTAAGTGTAGTTAATTACTGTTAAAAATTAGAAAAGGGCCTTTGCTCTTAAGATCCAAAATAAAGTGGAAATTTGATGTTGACTGAGTTGGAGCTGGTTCTTCCCTCGTGAATGAACTTTATTGATAATGTATACGTGAAAACCATTTTGGACATTTGAAAATTTTTGGGCGTGCAACACGTGAAGAGGAATCTTGTATGTTTTAGCTGTGTGACTCCTTGGTTCCTGATGTCTATTTCCCTCTGCAGCAAATGGGTTTGGTTTTCCTGACCAACATCAAGGTGGAGACTCGACCTTGCGTAAAGAAGGATTGGTACCTTAGAGGCAGAGGTAAATACAGGTCAGAAGGTAATAACTGAGGAGTCATTTGGATGTTCAGGAGTGTGACTTTGTGCCTCGACCCCCTTGTTAGGATCAGGGGAGCCGTTTTCACTCATGTAGTCTATCAGGATCAAAGCTTTTGTGAGCACGACTTAGATTCCAAATCTCCCCCCCCCCCATAAATTCAGGAGTAAATGCATTTATTACTTTGAAGTCTCCATGTGTAACTGTAGACCAAAACTATCACAATGTCAGTCTTTGTTGACGTGCGCTTTCCCGTGGGGACTTGATTGAAATCATCCCACCTCACTGCCATAGAAAAGCGCACAGGTAATTATAGCGTGACGTCATTATGTTACAGGTCTGTTCCTGGCATTGGAGTGTCTTTAACCGAAAGTCAAGTCACAGTTCAAACCATTTGTCGTTTCAGAAATTCTGATTCAGTAAGCCTCAGGCATTGCGGGTGCTCATTCTTATTCTTAATACCCAGTGGGGTTTCGCATTCAGTCCACCGAAGACTGGGCTTGACTCTGCAAGCCCATGTTTGGTTTGTGATTCGTCCCCCTTTCAAACTTCTCCATCTACTGTTATGGTTACTTTGAAATGGTCCTTGAGACTCTGGCAAGTTTGGTGGTCTCTAAATTGAGACGTGTTTTACCCAGTTGGAGGTCAAACTTTCAACCCCTCCCCTTCTTGCAAAGCTCAAGGAGATAAAACCGAAGCTTACGGAGAAAACCAAGTATGCAGAGCCAATAATACCACTTGCACTGGATAACGCTTGGTTAAGGTGTGAGGTCAAAATAGAAACACTTTTGAAAGCGTTCAACGCTTTGTAAATGCTAAGCCCCACCGACGGTCAACGTTGAACAGACGAATGCTTCAGTGAGGCTGGCCAAACCGTTCGCGGTCTACTGCACTGTGCATTCTGCAGCATCCAGTAAACAATGGACAGCTTATCACATTACCGCATTGTGGACTTCTGCGGTCTGGTGGACGAGTCATGACAATAGCTCTTTGCTTTGCAGCTCCGCAGGAAGATTCAGATCGGCAGACTTTTTTCAACTTCCTGACAGAGCATGTGTATAGAGTAGTTTAGTCGCAAATAAAGTGCTGTCGGTTTCCAGAACAGTCTTTTCAGGTCTTGATACCCTGTAATCTTGGTATTTTGTCTCAGTATCCTCAGTCAAATACACACCTAATTTTATACCTGCAGAACTGATTATACTCGCTCGAAACGTTCTGTTTGTTAACGTGTAGTCATAGATAAAACCTCTTTTAGCCCATGTGCGCAAGCTGGGACTCGGCATTACGCACTCGCAGGTTTTCATGTGTAGGATCGAGGAAACACATACACCAACTACGCGCTTTCCACTTTGCGGCCACACCTGCACGATTTAAGGATACATGCTTTTTCTTCAAGTCAATAGTACATGCGTAAACGTTGCATTTTGTTTTATAAGGCTCTTTTGTACTCTTTTTATACTTTGTGGCTGCACAAAATTCATGTTGGGAAACTAACATGTCAGGTTTTATACTAATTTCTATTGTTTGACTTTACCTATCAAACTTTAATACACAGTAAATAAAAACAGTAAAAACACTTTGATCTGGTGCTGCAGGTGAACCGTCGAACCGAGCCAAAATCATCAAACAAGGCACTTTCGCGGAGCCGAACCAAATTGTTCGGTTCGCATGTTCGGCTTTAATATGGCAAAGGCACGGGGAAATACATACAAGAAAACTTAAAAGAAAAAACATACAACAAAAAATGGATAACGAGTTGTACGGCGTGCTCCACACCTGCATGAACATACTGAAACTTACAGTTTCCCTGCATCATGAGATGGTTGTAAAAAGCATGTGGTGAGAATCACTCAAAAATCAACCAAGAATATGCAACGTACAGCATTGTCACTGCATAGCAATTCTAAATTCTCACTTCATCCAATCGTGCTCATGTATATTCAGATTTAGTATTATATTTGCCAATCTCCCGATAGCCGCGCCCTTACGTTCCATTTTAGGCTAATGACGTTCCATATTAGGCCAATGATGTCATAAATGGCCGTGAAAAAAGAATTTTGATTTGATGCTGATCACAGTCGGACTCGTGCTTGATTGTAGGCATCTCCGGAGGGAAATTTTGCTAAGCGGTTTCATACATGCAGCGCAAGGCGCGAGAATAGTTTTGTTGGTGTGGTGGTCTAACTTGCCTTTCATTTGATCATGAAGGGTTTGATTGTAGTGGGAATGCGTTGAAATGGAATTTTGCCAGAGCTCAAATAATAAAATGCTGTTATCCCTCCAAAAGGGGCTGATGGAAAATCACCCCTTTGGTCACGTGGGCGCCGTCCTTGGAAAAGTTTCTCAGATATGCAACGAAAGCCATATTCTCGTAGTTGATTCTATTTGAAACTAACTAGAACACAATTCCCTCGAAATCTAATTTGATCTTGTATTCTGTAAACGGAATGAAGGGGGATTAAAACTAACTGTTGAACTGTTTCTAACCCATCTGTATTTTGATCTCGCGCCTAAATCAACTATCTCATTTCATTTGTATGAGTCTTTTTCCCCCTCTCAAATCACACATTTCTGAAGGAATACCAGGTCCTGATGAGCCGTTGGCCCTTCCTGTCCTTTTTGATGCCGAACCACAGCCAGTGTTTGAAACAGATGATAATGAGGCGGAGCAAACGGCCAATCTGGAGCCAGAGGCTGCACCAGTCACCATCCGCACCTACTTCCCCGAGACTTGGCTGTGGGAACTTGTGAGAATTGGGTAAGTCTGTGTAAACCAGATGAGGTTCAATCCGTGTGAGTTCATGTTTGATTGCTTAGGATGACGTCTGGAAATTCCTTCTCGTACAGAGTAAACTAGACTTCTCTGGAAGGACTCCCAACCCCCCAATCATTGATGCAGTTCTGTAACTTATTGATCTTTTCTTCCTTGAGCACTGTTTTTAACTTGTTCTTGTTTTGCCAATGTTTACCTCCCCCCATTCAGGCCAGAGTCCAGTGAAGCTGAAGTAGAAGTCGAGGTACCAGACACCATCACCGACTGGGTTGGCAGCAGTTTCTGCATGTCCACAGAGCATGGCATTGGCATTTCCAACCCGGTACGCCTGCGTGCCTTCCAGCCCTTCTTTGCTTCCTACAACCTGCCTTATTCCGTCATTCGCGGCGAGGAGGTGCCAGTGTCGGTCACTGTCTTCAACTACCTCTCTGAGTGTCTCGTGGTGAGTACAGGGTCAAGAATTAGGCTTTTGGGGGTGGGGGGGGTTTAACACAACAGTCGAACTGTTTGAATTTAGAAATGTTTACCGGATTTACGGTTTCCTAATTTTATCAAATGACAAAGACAGTGGGTGAGATTTGTTCAAGTGACATGTAAACCGACAGGAGCATTCACAAGGTGCCGTTTTTGTATTCACTGGTTTTTCAGTCAAAAAACTCAACAAGATAATGTGTCAAGTCGAAGTCTCTCAACCAGTAGGAATGGCTCAACTCTCTTTGCTATTTATAAATGATGTTTAAAAGTAATTACGTTTTACTTCTTTCCTTCACAGAAACATGTAAAATACATAAAATACCTTCAGACTTATATTCTTATGATCATAATTCTTGTACTAAGAAAAGAAGTTTGACGGGAGGATTTTAGATGAACATGTATATAACAAAACTAAGTAGCTACTGGGCCAACTTTGTTTTCCGACATGATTTTCAGACATAATTGGCACAAATAGTACAATTAAAAGTTTGGATAAATTTGGTACATTGATGTGGAAAATGTTGAAAGGCAGTGGAAATGGCTTAGCCACCATTACTTCAGCTTTGATGCTTAAAATGCAATTTCTGATTAAAATCCTGATTGTTTTTCAATTCCCGCCTAATTGAGGTAAATTAAACCTCACTTGCACTTTATTTTCCTCTCTCTGTCTCTTTCTGGGATGAACCTTTGACCCCACCAGGTCGAGCTGACCCTGCAGGACTCCACCGACTTTGCACTGAAGGAATCCAGTGGCGTGCAGCGCCTCTGCATCTGTGGCTCAGAGTCCAAGACAGCCATCTTCGATGTCGTCTTCTCTGGCCTGGGAATGATTCCAATTGAAGGTGAGATCAGAAATCAATTTGGTAGGGGATGCACACTCACAGAGGATTTTTTCTCGAGTGGAGCATAGCAGTTTTGTGATAGTGTGATAATTGCTTATCACTGGTAGATCCAGTATTTTCCAAAAAAGAGGAACTTTTCTAAACTTGAACATTCAAAGAGAGAAGTGCACTGTGGTGTCTTTGTAGACTGTCAAGTTTTTCATAGCCCCCTGCATTTGTTTGTGTGGCAACAGTCCAGGCCCGAGAACCATTTCCTCCACAGACATTATCTTGTCCCTTACTTACAGTGCATGCCGTGGCTATTGAAGACACCACGTCCCTGTGCGGCAATGAACTCATGAGCTCAACCAGCATTGGCTTCAGCGACGGAGTTCGTCGAGAACTCTTGGTCGAGGTGCAGTGATCATTGTCAAAAGGAGCTTTTTCACTCAGTGCCGTAGTTGGGTCCATCGCAAGTCCTTTCACCAGTCTGGGCACAAGTCTTTTCAAAGAGACCAGTCATAAGTAACAGGGTGAATAATGACAAAGGGAATACTTTTGTCACAGTTCCTATGAATATATTGTGACTTGACTTGTGACAGAATGACTTGTGATGGACTTGCAGAGACTTGTGATGGACTCGACCACAGCACTGCTTGCACGGTACAGTGAATAGGCCATTGTTGGTTAACAACTAGAAGGGAAGCATTCAGCATCTATACACGAAATAGCATTCCTTTTGCGTGAGGGTTTGGCAGACTTCCATGAAACCCATTTTGTCGGGTGCCCGGCAGAAGGGCGTAAGCGCACTTACGCCCTTTTGCCGGGAAACATGATCACAGCAGAAAAAATGTTCCCAGTAAAAGGGCATAAGAAACACACTCTCTTTATTTAGTAAAAATGGATATAATTTACTACAAAATCAACCTGGGCTGTACAAAAAAGCAACCTTTGAACAATTTATTAAAGGACTTAGGCTTTTTTTTTTGGCCAAGAAATCTTCATATTTCATAAAAATACAGTATTTGCATACTTTCGTCCTTTTGCTTGGAAAAGTTCTTTTGCAGTGATCATGCTTCCCGGCAAGAGGGCCTAAGCGCTTACGCCATTCTGCCGGGCACACAACGAGTTGTCATTTTTCACAGTTATAGGCTCATGAATATGCTGGAAAAAAAACTGCATATCTCTTTACCTGTTAAAAAGAAGAGCAAGTAAAGGAGTGATGTGATCAAACACTTGTGTTTTGTTTGACTTTGCAGCCTGAAGGTGTTGAGGAAGAATACACAGTTAACTCTTACTTCTGCCCAGAAGGTGAAGTAATTTTGAATTCATTGTCAGATATGTATAACTGAACATAAAAAGAGGCATGGATTAAAACTGTTGACTCCACACGTCGATGTGTCTTACTTGATACTTATTTTTGTTTACACTGCACAGAAACCAATGGTCTCTTCACGTCTGTCAGCAAGCTTGACTTGCCAATCAATGTTGTCAAGAATTCCCAGAAGGCCAAGATAACCATCACAGGTATGTTGTGACATGTACCCTTTGACCTCTTAGCCATTGTGTACGGAAGCGGGCTCAATTCTACAAAAGCTGTGGCCATGTCCAGACCTTGTGTCTGGAACTAGTTGTAGGTCTTAGCTAGTCCAAATCCCAATCTTGTCTTGTTCAAATCTTGTGTTCAGAGCTATGTTTAGGCCTTTCACCAGTTGTGTAAGTTTGGGTACACTGCGACAACAGTGGTGTTCATAAGAGTTCATAGGATGCTGATAGCCACTGACGTTTTATCTCCCTCACAGGTGACCTAATGGGACCCACCCTGTCCAACCTGGACCAGTTGCTGCGTGTACCCACCGGCTGTGGAGAGCAGAACATGCTGGGCCTGGTGCCTAACATCTTTGTCATGAAGTACCTCGAGAGCACCCAGCAACTCACCCCGACCATTTCCCAAAAGGTACCAGTTGGTAATAAATTAGCAGTGATCCAGCGTTCATTTGCTACACAACAGATAAAACTTTCGAATAAGCGCCATTTGCAGTTCAACCTTCTCGCGTGTTTGTGAAATCCAAAGGTGTGTTTGCTCAAGGCTTAGATTTCATTATGTGGGGCTGTAGACTTTAACCAACTACTCTTTATTGTTTGGGGATTATGAATTTGAACTATTTTTGACATTTTCAAACATTCACCCCTTGTGCATCTTTTGGGTCAATTTTAGGCAACAGCCAACATGAAGATTGGTTACCAGCGGGAGCTGAATTATCGCCGAGACGACAACTCCTATTCGGCCTTTGGCATGAGCGACCCCGAGGGCAGCACCTGGCTGACAGCCTTCGTTATGCGCTCCTTCGCCCAGGCCAGCGAGTACATTTATATCGACCCGCAGGATATGGAGCGGAGCATCGGCTGGCTGCGGGAGCGGCAGAACGTGACCTCGGGCTGTTTCCAGTCCATGGGCAAACTCTGCCACAAAGCCATGTCTGTAAGTTCAGGGGAACAGTAGCATTAGAGGCCAGTTTATACTTAAGCAGCGAGGCGAACACAGACGTTGTTTTGTGACATCAGATCAAACGTTTGTGCAGGGAATTAAAAAAGGGCAAACGGATTTCCACTTTCCCTGAAATTTGCTGCAGTCATTATGTTATGTCACATTGGTTATTGTGTTCACCTGAGTCTTGATTAGGGTGAAATTCTGAGGGTCCAAAGAGGGGGATCACATTTGTTTCAAGGGAACACTGAAAGCAAACTGTATTTGGACTGTACATTTTGAAATTTGACATGGGGGCACCCAGGGGGAGGGGCAAGTCCTTCTGCTGAGTTGTTTCCACTGTAATTGTGCCACTGTGAGGAATACCATCAGTCAATAAGCAGATGATACTCATGATGTATACGATAAGTCTTTATATGAATTGTGATATGTTAATGCCACGGCTCTTGTATTTACAGGGAGGAGTTAACAATAAGCTCACACTGACAGCATACATCGTCATAACGATGCTCGAGGCAGGATTACCAAAGAATGTAAGTGTGCAAAATTTATGAGTATGATGGTAATCCTACTGGAAGTATGTACCTATAACACAGTGACATCACTCTTTGTTTACATTTGTATCCTACGGCAGTGAGGTGGAACACGATCTGAATCCACATAAGAAAGTGTACATGCAAGCAAAGCGTGATGTCAGTTTTTTGTTAAGGCTATTAAAAGTGTTAGATTTGCTAAGTAGTACTTATGCCTAAACTGCCACCTCGTCATTCTAGTTGATGAGCCAATACTAGTAATTTCCTCCATCAGCATCCTAAGATGTTTGCACAACAGCACCCCACCGAAAGCCCCCCGAACAGTAAATCAGTGCCGCTCCGTCTTTTGTGAATATAGGATTCCGCTGTGGTTGGCGGTCTGCGTTGCCTGGTCAACGGCATCCCCAATCTGGCCGACACCTACACCACGACCCAGATGGCTTACGCCCTGGCTCTGGCCTCTAGCCCCCAGCTGGAATCAGTCATGGTGAAGCTGGAGGAAGCAGCCACTGTAAAAGGTAACACTCTCAAACTCCAGCCCAGGTTTTCATTAGGTCTTGTCCCAGCACTTGGTTCCAGCTGTAACACATGCATCACGCACGCTTTTAGAGGACGAGTTGGTCACTTCTTCGGATGCCAGAATTTTTTCCCAGCCATAACTAAGTTAGACACTATCGTTTATTGTCACTGGAGTTTCCGCTTCCTGACTTTATAAGCATCTTTATACTGGTTTAAACTAACTTCATTAAGATACGGCGATCTCCTACCAGTTGGTACCAGTGTACAGACAAACAAATGCTAGACAGACTTAGCCAGTGGTTACTGTCTGTTTTGAGTTTTTGAGACACAGTTATCGCAGTTGTCTTTCCTGACCTCAGCATATTTCTGTAAGACAGGCCATGTAAGAGTTTACTGCTCAAAAGCAGCATTTATAAGTTTTAATATTAATGCATCTTGCATGAATGCTAGAACTTAACCAGCATGGTTTCATTTCCATTTTCTTGTACTAAAATAATTTGTGTAAAGAACAACGTATTGTGGCTTGGAATACAGCAGTGTGGTATGACATTTGTGCTCAAATTGCGAGATTTTATTTCTGCCTCTAATGCCAAGAGTTCATAGAATTCCCCCACAAGGAAACCAATATCCTCAAGTGTTGCATCAGTTTGGAATTGTTCAAAGACCTTCGCACATTGATGTTCCTTAGCTTCAATGCCCAAATCACCCCTCTTTTTTCCAGATGGCACGAAATACTGGAAATCCAACCGACCCCAGCCCGAAGATAGCTACGGCTATTACGGTGTGCCGGCCCAGGACATAGAAATGACAGGCTATGCCTTGCTGGCCTACATGCAACAGACGGTAGGAGGAGAAGCGCTGGTTGCTGGCAATCCCATCGCCCGCTGGATCATCGCACAGAGGAACTCGCAAGGAGGCTTCTCATCGACACAGGTGGGCAAGACAAAGTTGTGTGTTGAACTTAAACACGGCCTGTCATGAAAGCAAATGTCACTCAGTGGGCATGACCCAGGAGTGTTGAACGAAATGAGGTAGCAGTCTCTTGCAAATGAGTATGGTGGTATTTGGCTGTAGTTTAAAAGTTAGCCTCTGTAGACAAAGCCAGCAATGTTTCGCTGGACGTTTTGAGGGCCCGTTATAATGGCAGAAAGTATTGGGTTGAATTTTATATAGACAAGACTGTCTATAATAGTGAAACGATTCTTTCTGCTATTGGTGGGGGCCACCGTAAAAGACCAGTGAAAATGTTGCCATGGTCACCAAATTCATCCTTATCTTACCTTTGTTGAAAGTGGAAATTCTCAGCAAAAATGATCAGCCACAAATGGTCATAAAAGAAATTAATTTTGCCATTGTCTCTTTGTATTGATGGTCCCATTGGTTTTTTCTTTATGCAGGACACAGTCATTGGCCTGCAGGCCCTGGCCACCTACGCCAACCTGGCTTACACAGGTGGGGTGGACATCCAGCTGAATGTGCTCACTCACCCCCAGCAGGTCACGCACGCCTTCTGGGTGGGCCCCGCCAACCGACTGATCCTGCAAGAGCTGAGCCTGGATGCCATGAATGTGCCAACCCGGGTCAGCTTCAAGGGCCACGGGATGGGTTGCGCTTTGCTGCAGGTGGGTGAACGATAACTGACACTGCGTAATGACACTGGCTTCCTCCTGTTTGGAGAAAGCCAATATTGTGCCAGGTTGTTGAAAGGCTCAAAGAACATATGAGTTAGATTTGACATGTGTGGCAAGGTGTGCCTAGTACACTTGGAACGATATGCTTGCTTTTTTCACTGAATGATTTTGTGACTTCAGAGTGCCGTGAGCTACAATGTCATTCCCAAGAAGCCCAAGACACCAGCCTTCACTATCTCCCACGGAGTGCGCGAAATCGAGAAAGCCAAGAGATGCACCCAGTATTCCATGCAAGTTTGCACAAGGTAAGCCCTCAGAATAGGCGAGCACATGGAAAGTGCTCCCCATGGCTTAACCACTTCCTTCCGGGCGACCCGTTTTGGAGTACATAGGCTTTATATGCAGAGCCGGGGAGCTTGGAACTGGAACAAAAGAGTTGGGCCTTACAACAAAAGACCGTGCTCAGCACAAAAGACTTAGCTAATGGGCATGACCGATATATTTTTTTGCTCTCAATTGTGGAGATAATCCAGCCTTGTTTTGAAACAGTATACCACGGTTTGAGGCATTTTGAGTGAGCAGATTACCACCAGGAACAAAAGCTCTCCGGCGATGAGCCACACAGCACCACCGCACACTAATCTGGCCCCTATTGAAAAGAGGTCAGCAGTGCACTGTGCTGGTTTCAAGAACAAAAGAATCTTATGTAACAATCTGGGCTCTTTTTCCAAGGCTGCAGGCCTGGCTGAAATATTCAAAAGTCAATGAAGGTTAACTGTCAGCTTTAAAGTATTGCCCAAAGAGTTCTTCATGTGGGTATAAACGGCCATTAAAGGAAACAGTGAATTTTTGAAGAATTTTGAAAACGGAAAATCTTGAAAAGGACCCGGCATCTTGTCTTGCTCAAGAAAAATCCACCCGGCAGCAAGTGGTTAAGGATGAATGGGATTTCCCTGCAGATACACAAGTATGTTTCATTGACCTGTTGCCTAGAAATACTGGGAAAAAATGGGTTACCAGCCAAAGTGTTTGTGTCTTACTGTGTTAAATATTGACTGGTGCTGTGCTGATATTTGCTTAGCACATCATGTGGCCATGCCCAAATTACTTAGGTGTGGCTTGACATTACACACATATCTGTTGGAAGTGGCCACAGCCACAACCATGGCGCTTGCATGATTTCAAGCTGCAGCCTGACTAACTGATTCATGAAATGAGTCCTTGGTCCACTACTGCAGAGATTTGTCTTGGCCGGTACTGCTTTTGACACCTTTTAGCCATATCCCAGCTGTACTGTATTTCAGACCCAAGTGCTGTCCAGCACACATTATCAGTGGTTACAGTGCATCCGGATCTGTTGTCTAGAACTAGGTCTAGGTCTCTGCTCCATTAGAAACATATGGAGACACATTGGCAGTAGACTTAGCCTCAGCTCAAGAAGGCTGTTTTAGACGTGGCCTTCGCTAACTAAATGGCTCACTCAGTAGCTTTGCAGCATTTGGCACTAATCTTGGAGCAACCACTGCTTTCTCTTGGCAGTTACACCGGCGAGGACGAAGTGTCTAACATGGCCCTCTTGAGAGTCAAGATGCAGACCGGCTTCATCCCAGTCAAATCTACCCTGACCGATGACGGACTGAAGCGGCAGTCGGAGGCCTTCCGAAAGGTGGAGATTGAGGGCAAGATGATCGAGTTCTACTTTGACGAGGTGAAGTTGGTCTTGTGCCTTGTCTCCTGTGTATCAGAAATTGTTGTGTAGGAAGTTGGTGCTGAGTCAGTTCTGAAGGGAATCCTGAGTAAACACACTTCTCTCTTTGAGATGAGTGGGGTAAAGGGACAATGCAAAATTTTGGGAAAACAGGTGATAATTTGAAGTTTACCGCACAGGCAAGGTTTTATGAGGGGAATAGTGGTCTATCTTAGAGTAAAATCTCAAGTGAGAAACCTTGAGTTGCCCATTGTTAAATTTACTTTGTTCCCTAAGAGTTGCAGTCCATGTAAATTCTCTTTAAACTGAATGACGGTTTGTCGTCAGCTCCTAAGATTTCCAATCTGTGTAATGTGCTTATTACAGCTGACTGCCGAGGAGACCTGCCTTGTGTTCAGCATTGAGAAGAGCATTGACGTGAAGGACATCAAGGATGGAGCAGTCACCATCATGGACTACTATGAGCAGGGTGAGTACCAAGTCAGATGTTTCTGCGAATAGCAAGGAGTCCTCCTTTAACCAAGGAGTCCTCCTTTAACTACTTGCTGATGATGATGCCCGATGAAGAGACTCTCCCACATTCCTGTACAAATTTGGTCTTTACAAATGCTGACCCATGGTGGTCATTTTCCCAAGATTTGTGTGAAATTTCCAAAGTCAGAAATAATTGCTGCAGTGCCCAGTGTAAAACCCAAATCCTCTTGAAGGCTCCATGTATGCTCAACCTCCACAGACTTACTTGTCCCTCTGTGTGTGGGGGTGTGTGTGTGTACATTTTCCGTGGGAATCATTCAGTTGTGGGGATGAGTATAGATGTACTAACACGGTCGCGTGTGAGACAATGTTTTCAGAATGCTCCCATTTCAACATGAATCATTCTCCTGGACTGAAATTTCGACCGAATATCCCTTTATATGAAACACTTCAATTTGCGACGGATTCTTACACATTAAAAATTTCTCTTTTTTGAGCGATTTCATGGTGCTTTGTGGAAATGCAGGAGAATGTGTTGAATAGGTCTCCACAAGGAATGTGTATATGTGTGTGTATAGGTCTTTACGAGGATTCCGCAAAACACATATTTGGAAATCGGTCAAAAAAGAGACATTTTTAGTGTGTGAAAATCTGTCGTAAATTGAAGTGTTTCATATAACGGACATTCGGTCAAGACTTCAGCCAAGGAGAGTGATTCATGTTGAAATGGGAGCATTAGGAAAGCATTGTTTTACACGCGACCGTGTTAGTACTAGAGAACAAAGCCATGTCTCCACAAGGATACAAAGTTCGGAAAGGTTGTCACGCACTGCTACGTACATAATTCGCTGGAACATATTTAAATTTCCTCCTTTCCGACACCAGAAATCCCCCCTGTTTTTGTAAGTCCTTCTGTATGACATTGTAAAAGAACCAACAATCGAGTTTATGTGATGTCACTGATCAAACGTTTGGCAGTATTCGGTTGTGCATTCTCTGGGTACCCATTTTACTCCCAAGTGTTGCACTTGTCTGGCTTGACCAAAGTCGGAGAGCATGAACAGTGGACAGTAACTGTATGTGTATGAGACCTTGGACTGTCACACTTTCTGTGAAAATGATGGTGAGCCTACTTCTTTCAAAGCAGTTGGCAGAGTTCTTGTTCAGATGGATAATGTCTTGTTACAATCCTTCAAGTTACACATCGGGGCATTTTTCCAAAGTCTCCAGTGGCAGCCATACAGGTTTATAAACACAATATTAATAATAATGAGAATTTATAAGGTGCCAAATCTGTCACAAGTGACACTCGAAGTGCAAAACAACTTTTACACTACAAAAATACACATGTACATGAATGCATCAAAAACAATATGACAGTTACTGAAAAGTTCCTAACAAATATAGATACAGTATATGAAAAACAATTACCCAGGTCTGAAGTGTTTAGCCAGGACACAAGACTGTCTTCAAGGCTGCTTTAAATTTTAAGAGTGATAAATTTCGAATATGAAGAGGGAGTTTATTCCAAAGAGAAGGGCCAGCAAGAGCAAAAGAGCGATCCCCCCATGAGTTATGAGTATGCGGGATGACAAGCAGGAAAGCATCAGATAATCTTAGGCGCACGGTCCATCTCCGTGTTTGGGAAGTCTTTGGAGATGGACTCTGTGTTAAGTTTCAACTGGACTGCAGTACATGTCCTTCTGTCATTGCAAGTACTGCTCTCTGAGATGTTCTTAGAGTGTTGCAAAATGTGAGGTTGTGTTGAGAAATATATCAATATTGTACAACTGACTCTGAAGACACAAATAGTTCAACCTCTCACAATTTGAATTTCCTCCCCAAGGCCTGTTTGTCTCCGAGATGGTAAAGCTGCCCTGCCCTCAAGACCCCCTCTACCTGGACCCCACCTTTCAAGACGATGAACCCCTGGAGCCCAAGGAGCCCCTGATCCCCCTGGATCCAAGGGGTCCCTCTGGCCCTCAGTTCCTAGGCCCCTTCAGAGAGGGAAGACCCCTCAGCGTTGGAAGGGGTGACCCTGTAATCCCCGATGTGGCCATAACTGATGACCTGGATATCTCTTGTAAGTTCTACATCACGAAAAAAAAGGTTTTGTATTTGTGGAGTGGTGTAAATCTAAAGGAAAGGGCAAAATGTCTCAACAAATAATAAGAGTTCCCTCTGTCAAGTGCGGTATATTTCTTTCTACTAAACTCCCTAGGGTTTTACTCAGCATCATTATGTCCTCTTTTAGTAGGCCTCACTGTAATCCAGTTGCACAAGAAATTCAGTTCCTCTGAAGAATATTTGTAGAGAACCGCTGTCTTCTTTTTATTTTGGTTACTTACTAAATTCTTGTCACAAGACTTTTTGTGTTTTGCAATGCAGTTGTGCTTAAATGTCGTCCCTAATTTTTTGGTACATTTTGAGTTGTTCCTTTTGGCCATGATTGTTCTGGAGTACCAAAGTGAATATGTCACACTCAGAATTATGTATGTCAAAGACATTAATGCGAGAACCAGCATGTGAACCAACACAGGTGTGTACTTCATTCGTTTGCATGGCACTTCCTGGTTTTAAATGACGTCACACTTTTGCTCTCTCTACCATTGGGAATTTGCCTGTTTACTCTCTTTCAGCACTTAATCAGTGTCCTGAGGGTCGTGTCTTTGCCGACGGCGTCAAAAAATGTGTTGGTAAGTTGAAGACGCAATGTGTCTCTTTTTGTGCCTCGTGTTGTCATATTCTGCCCGTTCTCCCCTGACTGTGTCCAGCGTCCTTGCTCTGAGTTGTCTGCTTACAGTTCTGCAGTCGGGGATATTGTTTTGCTTTAAATCGCACAATTTTTTTATTTTCAAAAGCAAACAATGGCCAACAGCAACCTCAGCAGCTGAAGGGTTACTTTACATAAACAAGTACATAGAACTTTACAGATGAGTTGATGACGTGATCAAACATCACAAAGATAAGAAGGCTCTGAAAACTATAGATAAATAACGTGTGATAAAACTAGCTGAATAAAAGTTAAAGACAATACAATTTGCCAATTAAATAAAGTTAATTGTACACAGAGCACTGTGATTGGGGATAAATTAGAAGTGGGGAATAGGAAACAAGAAAATGTGAGGATTTGATTAGTAACCTGGAATAGTTGATTTCCTGTGTCTTAATCATGTAACCTAAGACTGAAGAATTGGTGTCACATTCTGATGCACTTTCACATATTTCCATGTTCATGTTTCTAAAGAGCTTTGAACCCATTGCTCCCATAGGAAGAGCGCACTCATAAACAATGTGTAGTAAACGCGTAGCCCTTATGTTTGTGAGAAGACATGTCACTGTTGTTGTGTGTGCCTTGTTGGTAATAACGGTCCTCATTTGGTACTTTATTTCAACGTACAGCTCCCATGGGAGATGCATGCCAAGACGGCACTACATGTGAGGAGGGGTACACTTGTGTAGATACAGACACCGGCACCAAGTGTGTAGGTATGTATCGGAATGACCAAAAAGTAGATATTTTGACGTTTCTAAACAATATTTTAATTAAAATACCAATGCAGGAGAAAGAAATTGAAATCCAGAGCTTTGTTCGCTAGAAGCCATTATGGAGTAGAAGTCTTTAATCTGAAGTGTTACACAAAACAGAGGTTCAAATTTCATTGCCCTAGGAAAAAAAGGTTTTGACATCCGTCTGAAAATTTCTGAATGAGTTATTTCTGCAACTTCATCGGGTACTGTGACCAAACTTGGATTTTTTTCCATTTTATAAATATTTTGTGGCATTACATTTGGATAAACTTGAATCATGCATCACAACCACAGATCTAGATGAATGCAGCAAGTATGGGGACATCTGCAAAGGCGACTCCTTCTGCACCAACACAGAGGGAGGTTACCTTTGCGCTAAGCTGGATTGCGGTGAAGGATACAAGATCTCTGCCCGTGGAATCTGTGAAGGTAGGTTGCAACAGGGCTTGTCATTTCATGCTTTCTGTTCCCATGTCCCATGCTTGAAAATATCTTGACACCATCAGAGGCCCTTTTGTTCTGTGAAATAACTCCTCGGCCTTTGGGTTCTTGAATAATGCTTATTCTTCTGGGAGGTGGTTTGGAATAAACAGATTTGTTCAAAGCACTTGCACTCATTTGAAATCCTGTCATAGTCGACATTTTAAGCGTTTCTTCTTTTGTTTCAGTAGCTTTACAAGTAACAGGAATGCGGTAGAAATGTTTGGTTTTTTTTAAACGGAGGAAGTTTTGTCTGCTTTTTAGATACATTTCATCACTTTGAACTTGGTGCTGTTGGAGGCAGGAAAAAAATCATGCTATTCGCCTTGCATGTACTTTACATGAATGGTTTCTTAATGTTCTCTGCAGATGTGAATGAGTGTGACACCCCGCAAATCTGTGGCACATTTGGTATTTGCTTGAACACTGTGGGAAGTTACTTCTGTGAGACCATTAATTTAGAGTGTGTCGAAGGCTTCAGGCTTGCACCAGACTTGCAGTGCTTAGGTGCGTAAACCAGCCAGAAACTACCAGTGGCTTTTCTTTTGTTTGATCTTTTGTCATTTTTTTTGCCAAATGCAGTGTTGATCATTGAAAGCGTACTCAATGACCCGTCTGACCCAACCTAACAAAATGAGTCACAAGTTGCCAGAGCCTTGAGATAATTTCAAGAATCCAAAGAATCTTACAGAGTGTGTTGAAATCAGTCAGATTCCTCAAGATTTTTCACCCAGATAATGTCCCATTTCATCAGGATGTCAAAAACTGGGATATATGTCAAAACGAAGACCTCAGTTTGCCCATTATAACCAAAATTAAAAGATGCACTTTAAACAAGACTCTTTTAAATTGGGATCAAGTCACACTTGTGGTTCCAGGAGCAATACGTCCCCCCTCCCCCCCAAAAAATCACTGTGCACTGCTAAAATGGCAGGTCATACCTGTCATGGTGAAGAAAATATGTTGAACAAATGTACCAGGAGTTGAGAATAAGGACAGGTGGATCCAAAAGCAAAGGTGCGTTTGGACACCTTTATCAAGCATTTCTACATCTTCAGCAGTTCTGTGTGTCGGGTATCATTTTCGTCTCTCAACCTTGTTGAATTGGCCCAGGTCATGTCTTGTCACAAAGTCCCAGGTCATGTCTTGTCACAAAGTCTCAGGTCATGTCTTGTCGCAAAGTCCCAGGTCATGTCTTGTTACAAAGTCTGCATTTCAGGCATCGTGCCCTTTACCTCAACATTCTTGCCAGACTAGAAACGTGATTCAACCACATGATCAATTGCTATCAGTTAACCTCTTCACGGTAGGATTTTTTGACTGTGACTGCTGGGCTTTGGTATGCCCTGAATGGAGGGTTTTGTCCAGCAGCAGGCCCCATTGAACCAGCAGCTGTATAGTGAATAGACTGTATGTGTGGTATGCACTAATCCTCACACAACAGTGCGGTAGTAGCAGTCCTCTGCAGAGAAGGGGTTAACCCCCTAAGTCTTGGGACTTTATTTATGAAAATTCTCCACTGCATTATAAACACCAGTGAGCACAATCTTCAAGATAACCAACCAGGAGGCTTATGGCTTGACTGGATGCTAGCCCCTTTAAGGCCCCCAGTAGGTTTCAGCTGACTTGGCAGGGGCAGGGCCGAGACAGAGTTGTTCAAATCCTGAATATTCTGGCATTTGGATTTTCGTTTCTTGTCAACAGACATAGACGAGTGCTCTGAAACTCCAGACATTTGTGGTCCCGGGAACTCATGCACCAACCAACGAGGCAGCTATATCTGTCTCATTGTAGACTGTGGCACTGGCTACATCAAGAACGAGAATGGCTCCTGCACCGGTAAGAGCTTACCTTATTTCAGAAATCCAATGGATATCAGTATTTGTATCAAATGTTTCTGATTGCCTTAGAAAGGAGGAACTGGCCTATGTTATAATTCCGCTGCCAGAATTTAAACAAAAATGATGCACTGGCCAGATGCAGTGGACAGGTGGTGTGCATGCATTACATACCAATCTTCAACCAACCGGGTGTCCTGAATCACTACATGCACTTGTTTGTCAAGCTTAGAAAAATACATGTGGATGTGGTGCCACTGCAGTTACGGCATCTCCTCTGATTAGTCTTCCAGAAGCTTACCGATAAAGAACCTTATGCCATTTTTGGGGTTTTCCGTACTTTTTGTTCATTATTAATAGACTGAAATTTCTTCAGACTGACTCCTGCAAACTTGATGGCCCATTTGTTTCATAAGGACCTGGATCGTGATCAGTGATCCCAATGCTGGTTCGCACCATCCATTAGGCGAGTTCTGGGGTCTGTAAATCACTGACCACAATCCAGATCTTTGTGAAACAAATAAACCGAATGAACCCAAACCGAATGAACCTTTTTTTTAACCCCCATCCCCGAAGGTGCAATTTCATCTCCAGTAGATCCTGTTGCATTGAGCACAGTATGGGCTTCAAAGGTGAAGATGCTGAAAATGAAGACAGATAGATGGTTTCTGGCTATTAAACATGGTTCCTTTTTGGCTGTACTGGGCGCATCATTGGTAGAACCGCAAATACAGAGAAAAGTCCCAAGTTGTTCAGCTTCTCTGAGGACTGTTGTGCTCATTGGTACCATGTTGTTAATAGTTTCTATGGCTGCATTTGTGCTTGTTAACCCCTTCGCGCCGGGAAGCAGCTAGAGCCGCCATAAAAATTGAGATACTCAGCCCGCTTGTCAGCTATTATTCTCGGCCCACGCTCGAGCGAACACGGTGAAAGAAGGCAGACCCTGGCTCTTGCATACATGGTGATTGGCCTTTGTGTGTAGCCCAGAAATGAAAAGACAGAATTTGCATCCTAATCACCAGCTTCACAATAGTCCCCACTTAGAAAAGAGGCAACAGGAATGTGGAAGCGTGAGTAGAGCCGCGTGCCACCGAACAATCAGCCTTTTCACTGTGTAATTCAAAGCTTGCAGAGCACGCAGGGCCACAAAGCGAGAATTTGCGGTTTGGCAGGTGGCCTTCGTGGCCAAGCGAGGCTGGAATTCTCGGAGTCCGCTTTTGGAAAGAAATTCCCGTCGTCAAGGGGTTAACATGATTACAGCCCTGAGCAACTAAACAGCAGGAGTGTGACCTTAAAGGCTATGCAAGCAAGAGTGTACTTTCAATCAGATAAGTACTCTTACCATCGCATCATTCTTTTAGGCTGGCAGAAAGGTATCTGTTGATTGTTATGCGGTGTGAAGCGTGAGCAGTGTGCATGCAGCATTTCCTGCTCTCGGAGTGTCGAGAGCAATGCTTACGAAAGTAGCCATCATGTTTGTCAGGGATTTTTTGGTGTGTACATTTGTAATCTGTCACCAGACGTGGACGAATGCAAGGATGCGAACACCTGCGAAGAGGGCGAGACCTGTATGAACACCCCTGGAGGTTACGCCTGCACAATCACCGCCTGTGAGGACGGCTACCGTGCTACGATGGACCCATCAGGGGGGCTTCAGTGCATTGGTAAGGGAGTGGCTCGATAGCGGGGAGAAGGTCTGTAACTTGAGGGATGCTTCTCCTTGCAAACTCTCAGGAGTCCACAAACATGCACAAAATATATCAGCGATGGACAAACCTCCCAAAGTGCACTTCATAGTTGAATAAGTTGCTCAGGGAGGGTTGCTCCATGCTTGGGAGCACTGTGCACTCCAAACCACACACCATGCTCTTGTGTTGGCTGTCACTCAGAATATGATCAGGAGCTCTTTTATTATTAGGAAGTCCAAGCTGTTTTGGGGGCGGTAATGTACAGAACATCACAGGAGTAAATAGTCCTCACGCTAACAAAATACCACAGCGTGCAATCAAGGTAGACCTTCAGTGTATGTCATTCATAGTATGAGGAGGATTTGAATGGTGTTGTGTCCCACACCTTGTAGCTACTGAATAGCTTGGTCTTGCCATCCATTCGCTGGCAGGATGTTTCTGCTGATTCTAGGGGCTTCCCAGTGGTTCACTGGTCCCGTTGGCAGCAGGTATAGTCCCCACCATTCAAGTTCATTGATTTCTCTTTCAGTTGAACTTGGTCTCGAAATTTCTCTTTTGGTTTAGACAAGTCTGGTCATCTGCACACTCAGATCACTTGTCGTTTCTCTCTGTACAGACATTGATGAATGCAATGAAACTCCAGACGTATGCGGTCCAGGGAACCTTTGTGCAAACGCACCAGGGAGCTACTTCTGTGCCATTGTTGATTGTGGACTTGGCTTCTTCAAAGATGAGAACGGCAGTTGTGTCGGTAAGAAAAGTTCTTGCCACCTCAAACAAATCAGCGTTTTGCACATACTGTTTTTTTATCTAAAAATTACCTCCCTTTATAGGAACTGATTTAACCTGAACCACTTTGCACCAGGCCATTATCAGTGTTCAAGCTGCTGGGCCGGGCGCTTTTCCCCTTTTTTTTTCTGTTTCTAAAATTCTTCAAAAATTTATATCTTCATTTACTGCACGTGTACACCCAAAAGAATGACCGTCCTGTGTCAACTCTAATCTGACAGGCAACCTCCATTAACATTTGAGTATTACAGCCACGCATGCTGCCAAATAAAGAGCCCCCATTCTGCAGTGTTGCATAATTTCCTCTTTGTTCCGGGAATCAGCCCTGGACGGCCGCTGTTGCTATGCAAAACGTCTGGGCCATGCATGAGGGTGAACGGGGCCATTCAATGGGCACACTGGCACAGTTGACACTGCACAATGTGGCCAGATTCCATGAATGCTCAGTGGTATTGTATCGCTAATTGCTGGAGCACGTGCTTTTGTCCATGCTGATAATCTGCTGGCGCTGGGAGCGGCAAACAATGGTACTGTTTCAAAAAACAATAACAGATTATTTAAATATAAATATATGTTGGGTTAGGGCAAAAGCTGTATTTATATGACAGATCAACTCTGCCAATGGCCAGCACCCTACACTGACAGTGTGTGAACCTTCATTGGCAAGTCCCAGCAGCTTGGTCTTTTCTTTCCAAGTTCAGTCATCCCGACCATGAATAAAGGCCCAGTTTTCCAATCCAGTTAACCCATTGTTGCACATCAATGATGGACTTGCCTTCGCTGATGGCCCAAACAGGTAACTGACAGCAAGTAGACTTTTCAAAAATGCCCGCAACATTTTTTTTAAAAAGAAAATTCCGATTTCTGGAATGCCGGTCTCAAGGGCCACACACCATGTCTCTGGTACTGGGCACCCCGGTGCAAAGTGGTTAATAAAAGAATAAATGTTTGATGGAACACTTTTTAAGTAGTACATGAAAACTGAATAGAGGCCTGGCAGAGATGAAACTTTTCCACTGTAACATGTCATTCCATTAAACTAAATGGTCTTGCTTGAAACTTTAAACAAGTTTTGGAGAGAAGGCAATAAATGAACAGTCACAAATGTCGTCTCTCTTTGGCAGAAATACATGGACTTAGACTAATAGGTTGGCTGGATAAAATGTTCAGAATTGAGTTTTGACATTAAAAAATACTGGTCACATGGAGCAGTGTTAGATTGTGTGCATAAGAGCAGTGTTGTGTGCCATATGCCCATGGCATGACTGAGTCTCGCCCCAGATGGGGGCCAACTACCTCTGTATACTTGGCCCCTCGACTACCCGCCCAAATGTGGAGACTCATGAAAAAGTTTCCTGTGAGCCCCATTTGTCTTAAACGGCTTCATTCACCCCATCTGGTCATTAATTCATCAGTATGGATGATTTTCCTTTTGTCCTTGTCGGGGAAATGTTGGTTTCTATTTGGTCGTCTCAACACAGCCATTCTTTTGCAACAGCGATTCCTTTTTTCATTTTTTGACGGGTGATACACACTGTCGAAATCTGTTTGGTCAAGGAACCAGACAGTGATAAACATGGTGATCCCAACTGCTGTTTTATCAGTGACTTTGTATCACCCTTAATGAAGCCTTGTGTATGGGTGAGCACTATGATAGTGTTGAAAAAACAGCCGTCTGGTATTGCGCGTTCTTGTCATGCAATGCTTGTCTGTGCAATCAGGTCACTTGTCATTTCTCTTTAAATAGACATTGATGAATGCGCTGATGCGGGCATTTGTGGTGCAGAGGGCTTGTGCGAAAACGTGCCAGGTACCTATGCATGTCTTATCATAGACTGTGCACCAGGTTTCCGCGTGGAAGTCAACGGCAGTTGTGTCGGTAAGAAACTATTTTGTCACCTCAAACAAATGAAAGGTCGTACCCTAATTTTTTTTTCGTCGTCAAAAAGCTTCCTTAGACAAAATTTCTCAAAGGGACATGAAAATATTTGGGAAGTAAATCATGACACTTGACCTCGTTTTTTAATCATGTCTGCTCCAGATATCAATGAATGTGAAGAATTTGACGGCGTCTGTGAATTCTCACAAGTTTGTGTCAACAATGAAGGCAGTTACACGTGTGTTGGTAAGTTCTCTTTCCTTCAAACTGAAGAGTTTCTTATTCTGGATAATTTTATTTATGTCAAGCATAGAATAGTGTGGTGTTTCCACATTCTTCAGTAGCCTAGTATTCTGCATTATTGTCATCAGTCTGATCGGGTTGAGGCATTTCGATGACCTCTTGAAAATGTATAAGGGTGTGTAGCTCTCATGAAGACATGTGTTGCCTTCATTGTCCACCTGTACCTCACTGGTTACATTCTAAGTGAAAAACAAATAAAAATTCTCGTGCGCATTGGATAGTCTTCTTTTGACATCCAGTCATAAGCTATTCAAATGAACTCGGGGGCAAGATTTTTCTGGATTTGTCGGTATTTCCAGAGTTTTTGTAAAATGAATTGAGGATATGTGGATTCCTGTTTGGCATGGCTTTGCTGAAATAGAATGTATTGTTACCTGAATTTCGTAAGAAAGCAAATGCAAGACTTGTGAAAGTTGATGTTTAGATAGTGTGCATTCTTGTGCTGTTACTCTTACTGGAGTGCAGTAGATTGCCACTGAACTGTGGGGGTAGCGTGGTGTCTGCATTGCGCACCTTAATTCGAGATTGATCTTCATTCACTTTTCATGTTATTGGTACTGTGGCTTCTTCAAGCGGCTTTTGTTTTCTGTTTACAAAGTGTGGGGCACAGAATTTCTTGGCATGGTTCAGGCAGGTGCATTTATTGCAAGTACTTTCTGTAATGAATTATGAGGTTGCCTGATATACGGTGCATTGAGTTACTTCCCCGACCTCACTCATGCAACTGTGGCTGCATTTGATTTAACACTCGCATGATTTCTCGTGCTTTCTAGGCCCTAGCCCAATTGAGTAAACTGACCCACCTAGCTTGGGTACTGAGGGGAGTATCTAACAGTATAAATATTAAAAAAGCATGGTGGCTCAGTCGAACAATGAAAAGGAAACTTGACATTGTTGTAAACAGTGTGCCGTTGTAAACAATTGTACAATTGTTGCAAATTGGGTATATTCAATATACTATATTGACTCAAATTGAGCAAAAATCTGTGAAAGAAAGGCCGGCAGTGTATTTGTGCGGATGTCCATTGAGTTTAACAGTCCCAATTCATTATTCAATTGAATCACTGCATGACCTCTTGACCCAGTCAGGGCAGCTTGAGTAACCCGAGATCAGTCATCATTCAGATTATGCATGAACATTTGTAGCTTTGACTCAAGTCAGGGTGAGTATGAGAGAAGTAATCAAAGTAAATAAATATACGTGCACAGCTGCAAGCATCTGTTTAAATGGACTGCCCCTCGAGAAAAAAATTTCTCAAAAAAATTTAGCCCCTGCTTCACTCTGCCTTTCAATCATTAGACCATCCAGGACGCTGCAGCCTACCCCTGGTGACTGGCCGATGCCGAGGACGGTTCCGCAAGTTCGGCTTCAACGTTGGGACAGCAGCATGTGAGGAGTTCATCTATGGAGGCTGCCACGGCAATGACAACCGCTTTGACACAATGGATGCCTGCCGGAAGGCCTGCGAAGACCAACCCTCCGTCGGGGGTGGCGATCCGATGGTTGGACCGGCTGAACCACTCCAGCCCATCGTTAACACCTCTGGTAAGGATGAAGCAAAAAACTCTCAAGGAGACGCATGAATGTGGTTCCGAAATGTGGGCAAGTTGGAACAATGACAGTAGTTAACTATAGCTTAACCAATCAAAAGTCATTGTGCAAGTTTTTCATTTGTCTTTGTAGAACCACATGGGAATAAATGGTGATGGATGCTTTTCTCAATTTGTTGCTGCTGAGTTTAATGACTGCAACTCTCATGTTCTTCCATTTCATTAATTTCTTTATTTCTTCTTTAATATTTCAGCTATCTGCCGGCTTCCACTAGAAACAGGCCAGTGCCGTGGCTACTTTCCGAAGTTTGGATACGTGCCAGAATCCCAAACTTGCGAGGAGTTCATATACGGCGGCTGTGACGGCAACCAGAACAGGTTTGACACTCGGGAAGAGTGTATGCAGCAGTGTGGAGAGCTAGCTATTGTGGTTTCTCCCGATGAAGTGCCTTTACCAGGTAATGCGATTTGCCCTGTCTGTTTTGTTGCAAGAGGTCAACAAATATTGCCATGGTTACAGAGTGTGTATAGTGAGTTACATGTTTGCCACCTTGTGTTCTTGATACTCAAGAAACTTGGTGGTTGCATGGTCATCCAGGGTCTTGTTAAGTTTAAAAAATCAGCACACGGCAGAGAACGTGAAACTGAAATCATACTCTGGAATAGAACGGAACGATTCTTATGCATATAACATTAGTTGTGCCAAGCAGATTCATAGAACTGCACACATATGGTCGTCTGTGACAGGTTTTGGAAAAGACAAACTCGTCAATGTATCCATGCACTTTCATAACTGACTTTGTTTCAAAGGCCCAACCCTTTGAGGAAAAAAAGTTGAAACTGAATAGAAATTCATGCGTTTGTTTAAACTGTAACAAAATGCTCTAAGTTTTTTGAATAAAATTACAAACCATCAGTGATGGATTTCTTTAAGGAGATTCTCTGCAGCCGTTCAGATTTTGAGATTCCGGGTGTAATCATTTGGGTAAGTCAGGCCGTTCCTTTCGTCTTCATGCAATCCAGAGCTTTGCAAGCTGCCACTGATGTCGGGCATGTGTGAGGCCTACATGCCTATGTTTGGCTACATTCCTGGAACGGGAGAGTGCGAGCAGTTCATCTACGGCGGCTGCGGGGGAAACGTCAACAGGTTTGCGACCGTGGAGGAGTGCACGCAAGTCTGTGGGTCCATCCCTCGTGGTGTGCCCCCCATCATCCCCAAGAAGTACCCAGGTGAGATGCATGGGGCCCTTCCTGACACCATTCAAGTGGATCATTCAACTGTTACTGCCCACTTTCCGTGATAAACCGATACAGTTATGTGACATTTTCTGGCGTGCAATGTGAGTCTCAGTCTTTTGGATTATGTAGAGGACAATCTGTACTATGAGAAAACGTTTCATTTCTCCTATTTTGGCTACTTCTTGATTTGTGAGCCTCTAATGTACAACTTTTTTTGGCTTGAGTGGTGCCTTCCAGTGTGTTAGCAATGCTAGAATTGTCTTGCATCCCAGTGCATTAAGTTCTTGTTTAACTGTGGCACCAAGGGAAAGGCATTGCGTATCCTGTCGGTCCTCTCATAGGCCAAGTACAGGCACTGATTCTTTTTTTTATGCTACCATCCAAGTGTTCTCAAAGACCTCCCATTTGAAGCAGCACATTTTCCTATCTCCAGGTGTGAAGATGGGCCAGTGCCTGCCCTACATTGATGATAACGGCCCCTGTGAGCGGGAGTGTCTTGGGGATGATGCCGACTGCCCTGGCAACCGCCTCTGCTGCTTCAATGGGTGTGGCTTCCAGTGCACGCCCTTCACCCTCGAGGAGCCTCCAGGTACTAGACTCTGTCATTTTTGTAATAAGTGGCTACTTCCATTTTTTTCAGGGATGGGAGGAAGAGGAAGGGTCTAGTTGCAAGACAGCAGTTAGCTGTCAACTTTGTTGTGTGATTGAAGTAGTAGCCTTCCAGGATGGTACGGATGGCTCATGTGTGAAGCGCATGCCTCGCCTCTCACCATTGTTGTCTTCAGTTCAATTCCTGGCCTAGGTCACACATGAGCAGAGTTGTTCCTAGGTTCTTTCCTGTGCCGCAAGGGCTTTTCTCTGGGTTCTGCAGTTTTCCCCCTTCCGTATAAATCAACTGTCTTCCTGTGCCCTGCGGTCAATTATGCATTGTCTAGCTTGACTATGTTGGAGTTGCATCCCTCGTAATTCAGCCTCGTAATAGCGAGTAAAGATGATTAATCCATGGAAAGGACTAACTGCTCTTGATTATGTGAGATTCTTTTGGGTGTTTTTCAACTTAAGGCTCAGACTTAAAGTCACCCACCGTTGTTGTTATTGCATTTGACTTGGGCTTGACCATAATATTGTCTTCAGTATATAGAAGAAGAGAATACTTTAATTATTCTATGGCAGGGCCAGTGCATTAACCCAAATATGGTCAGTCCTCCAACGGGTGAAAAATTGTGGTTCAGTAGCGTCAATGTACCAAAGTTTTGCTTCACATGAGTTACTTCATTGCAGTATCATTTGGGGCTGTATGTAAACAGTTATTCAAGTTCTATTTTTTGTTGTTTCTGTAAAAAGGACGAGTCTTACTTTAAGGCCAAAAATGTGAGTGGTTCATATTTGTGACAGGGCACAAATAAAGATTTTCATCACAGTTTGATCACATCATGAAGGTTAACAAGTGGAACCATTACCAACCTTTGAGGACGAACAACTGATAAGGAAAAGTCCTTTGTCTTTGTGAACAGACCGATAGTTTTCCTTCCTCCCCCCTCCCATGAAATTTGTAGAGCCAAAGGAGGGGACCTGCCCCCCTGTCCTCCCTGGAGAGAACTTGAACTGTGACTATGACCAAGTTGTGACCGAGTGTTACTATGACTACAACTGCGAGGGGTCAATGAAGTGCTGCGAAGACGGCTGCAACTCCATCTGTGTCTTGCCAATGGGAATGGTGGATCCCATCCTGCCACCCAGTAAGTCTTGCCACCCTTGTGGTTTTTTATATTAAGCTGGACTTGTTCATAGCGAATCCCAACTTTTTTTGGTTTTTGTTTTGTATTCCAATTGAAGATTGGAACAGAAGTTAAGATGCTTGCTTTGTTATGCACAAAAGTCTGACTTCTAACCTCCCAGAATTTTACCTTGCCATCCTAAATTTTCTTCACATCTGCGGACATTTTCTTGGTTATGTTTGAAGTGCATTTTTTTTTTCACTCTATCAAAGAACCTTGCAGGTTGTAAGATCCTGCAAATGCCATTTTTTCTAAGACCAGTTTAAACTAGAGTATATGCTCACTCTGACTAGTATTCTAAGTCGTTTGAGTTGATAGAAAGCAGTGATGTGACAGATTCTTTCCTACTTGAGTTGAATTTGGCAACAGAAGTTTGAACCTCATGTTCTTGGGACCTCTCCTTTAAAATTCCCCCACAATGTGGCACATGACAGCAATGGCACTGTAGAAGCCAATCTGTGACGTAAATGAAGTTGAGTTTTTGCACGCAGTACTTCACGATTCTCCAAAAGTAGCAATGGCATTGCAGTTAACAAGCCCAAGAAAATCTCTGGAGAGAGGACATGAAAATAAGTCTAGTTTCAGAGGTGGAAGAGGAGGCCATTGAATCAGGTTGGGACCGATTGTCCCTACACATAGGTCAGCTTGGATGGGATCTGCCACTAGGTGGCAAGAGAGAATTACTTGGCCAACCCATTTCCATACAGTTGTTTAGTTTGAAACTCTCATATTTAGATCATAAAGCAATCAGTTCGCTGGTCTTTTCTCAAACCCTCAATGAAAATGAAATACGCCAGTGCTGGTTAGTACAACCTCTCCTGCTTAACACTGCATCCAGATAAGCCCAAGGTTGGCCTATGCCCGATAGTGGACATGATGACGATGGCCGATGCCTGCGTGAACGAGTGCTTCGACGACTACTCCTGCCCCCTTGACCAAAAGTGTTGCAGCAATGGCTGTGGCCAACAGTGCATGCCGGCGTACAACCCCATCGGTAGGTTTGTCAGAGCAATCATTTCTGTACCCTCCGTTGCTCCGGATACTAAGACCATCCCCATAGAACGTGACATACTTTGGCACGCTGTCAAACACATTTTCACGCTTGTATTAATTACAACCACAAAGTGACCAGCAGCATCGCTGGCATCGTACATGTATCCAATGGTGTAACTGATTAAAATGCAAGCAGTGAAGCCAACTTTGATTACGCTATCTTGGCAGTGCATAATTACGGTGAGTGCCCACCAATGACGGAAGTGGGTACCTGCCCGGAAGAATGCGTGGAGGACTCGGACTGCGAGGCAGACAACATCTGCTGCTTCACTGGTTGCGGACGCGTCTGTACCTACGCAGTTATCGTGGAACCTCTGCGTAAGTCACTTCATTTACCTTTAAACAGCAAACGTTAGATAAGATATCTGGACAATGTGTAGCAATGTGCTTTGGAAAAAAAAAATACAAGACAGAAACAAACAGTGGTGTGGAAATTCCAAAAGCTGAATTTTGACAAGCTCAGTGATATGGAGATCATAGAGAAAGAAGTTCTTGAAACTGATTTAGAGATGTGAATGCTACCAGTAGACAATACTCTGCGTTGATTGAGCAGAAAATGTACACTCCGATCAGTCAGTTGAAGTCAGACCAACTGAAGAAAATGACTTATGCGAGTCATAAAATGTTTTGTTTGCACTGTCATGTTTTACATCAGAGAGTACTGAGTTCATAATGGCCAGTTTCCCGTCCATGTTTCTATGACCTCAAATAGCACCTGACCCGGGTCAGTGCCCCCTAGTGCCCGAGCTGGCTGTGGGTCCCTGTGCCAACTTCTGCCAGTACGACTACGACTGTGCCAAGGGGGAGCGGTGTTGCAGCAATGGCTGCGGCTATGAGTGTATGGCAGCCACAGATGTTGGGCCAGTTGAGCCCCAGCCTGAGCCAGAGCCAGGTAAGACACTGATTTTCATTTTGAGGGGGGGGGTTTAATAAGAAGAAGAGTCAAATTTAAGGTCGGAGTCCTTTGTTGTGATAGAAGTGACAGGACCTTCATAACTGACTGATTCAACTTTGCAGTGTGGAAGCAGTGTGGCTAATAGTGTAACCACATTGTCTACATAATGTTTGGATTTCATTTCACTAAAATTACATTTAGTGACCATGCCTAGAATGAACCGTGTATGAAATGTACAGACGTACAGTTTCACCTGAGTCTCTCAGCATTGCAGTGGAGTCTGTCACTCATCACAGGTCCCATTATAAGTCCTTTTACTAGACCGTGAACAAAGTCAAAGGAATGCTTTTGTCACAGTTCCATTTGTGACTTGACTTGACTGGTTGTTTTGTGGTGGCCTCGTGATGAACATGCACGGACTTGCAGAGACTTTCTGTAAATTTGACTACAATGCTGGAGTCTCAAAATGAGAGCATGAAGCATCAAGTGCATTGCCTGTTAACTTCAACCCTGTGACCTCTAAAATTTCATTAGCTCCATGCCTCTTAATGTAAGCAACAAACTTGCCGATTTTGATCATTACTAAATAATACTGAGAAAAAACCCTTTAAGCTGACATTGTAGTCGTATTGCTGTAAATTAATGGCTTTTCTGCCCGTAGCTCAACCCAAGCCAGGTGAGTGCCCCGCCCTAGTGCAGGGCTTCTTTGCAATCTGCGTAGAACTGTGCAACAGTGACCAGAGCTGCCTGGGAAGCCAGAAGTGCTGTTCCAACGGCTGCGGGAGGCAGTGCATGGAGCCGTTGATACGTACGTCGGACTATTTGGCTGGAAGTCATCCGATCACTCATTCGCATTTCTTGTGTATACATTGGTGGCCGTCATTGGCGACATATCCAGCGGGAGAGGGGTGAAGGGGAAGGCAGAGGAAGATCTGTTTAGGGGGAGGAAGTTCCTTTTGAAACATGTCTATTTTCATTTTAGGCATTGAAAGCACAAGCATTTAAGAATGGCACTTGCACCTTTCTATTGGGGGTTCATCCAGAGATAAAACAATTTGGACAATTGTATTTGACAAAAATTCATTTAGCCACACCTCCCACCCAAGCCCTACATACCCCACTGCCGCACATGTTTCCTGCCATGCCATACGTTAAATACTCCCACTGTGTGGTTGTATCCATTTCAAGGGTAAGCTCGGGATCCCACAATCTGTGTCGATCTCTTTGCCGGTCCCCTGTAATCACTTAATCCAAATGTTTCTAACATTTCTGTCAACTACAGACAATTCTCTTCCGGTGTTGGAAAGGGCTCATTGTCTTCACTAATGGATCATCTAGCACATCCCATCTTTCTCTATTTCTCAATTCATGGTTGAACTCATCTTTAACAATTGCTAACACTTGAAGCCTTTTCAGATTCACAGGACTCGGATTATCTCCATTTTAAGCCCATCCAAATTCTAATTTGTTGTTCATCTGCAATCAGATAGCAATGATGCGCTGTTTTCATTGTAATACTTGGACATGGTTCACAAGAAGTTGTTCAAATTGTTGTTCAGATTGAGAACATTGACTCTGATTGGTTCATGTAGCAGTGTTTGTTTCAGTATCCGAAGCATCGAAAGTCTGAAGAGGCGTTGATGTTTCATCGTCAGTCCCATTTTTGTGAGTGAGTTCAGTTGAGAACTGTTGGTCAGCCATCAGTGAATTACTGGAATACCTGGGCCTATATTAATAAAACAGTGGAAGGGAATTGAAGTCAAACTGTTGTTAAGAATGATTGCAAAACCATCTGGCCCTAGCTCCTTGTGTATTACAATACACCTGTCGCATAATCAATCAGTGATGCACACATTGTCTGTTGACTGGTCTCCATACTATAGTCAGACCATCATAAAAAATGTGGTTGACCATACAGTTCTTGGTCCAAACCCACTCTATATTGCGCTTGGTTCTAACCACCAGACTTTCTCTGTGCATGCACAGCTCCTGTTAAGCCCGGCCAGTGCCCAGTCCTCGATCCGGGCCTGTCTTGTTTTTCCTTTGCTGCTGTCATCGAATGCACGGAGGACAATGACTGTGAAGGCCCCATGAAGTGCTGCGATATGTTGTGCGACAGTCGCTTGTGCACACTTCCTGTCTCCCGTATGTTTAAATTGGAGTGGAGTCTTCTCACAGAATTAATCATCTCTGACGAGAGATAACCCTGTAACATACCTAGTGTGTGTTTCTTGGCAAAGGTGCTCTGTGCTGATAAAAAATGGTGCACCTTTGTGTTAATGCTCCCAAGCTTCACAGTTCCTTAAAGCTAGTTGTCATACTAATGCTAAATTTCATACCATTGTGTAATGTACTCATCAAAATCCTTTGAATCTCTCACACAATGTAATCTGGACATTTTTCATTCAGCGTGTCCTGTGCAGTGACACATTAAAATTTTGTGTCAGTGAAGTTATCTGTTCCTTTCTACAAAAAAGTGTTCAGTTCGGTCTTGTTTTCTCCCATAGTTCTGTAGTTTAATGTGCGCTTTAAAATCCTCTCGCCACACAGCCCCTCCCAGCCCGCCCAAGCCCGGAGAGTGCCCAGTTGTGGAATCTGGTGGCTTTGGTATATGTGTCCAAGAATGTAACGACGATAGCAGTTGTGCTGGTGATCAGAAATGTTGTACCAGTGGCTGTGGAAGAACCTGCATGGATCCAATCAGTATGCATGTTTTAAATGAGATTTCTTATAAACAGTATGAGATTTGTCTTGCTTCAACTGTTCTGCCACACAGGTGAATTCGTCGTAAGTTTTGACGTACATTCGAGCAACATCAAGTTTCAATTTATTGACCATCAGGACAATTCATATCTCATTGGCAGTGCAAGTGGCTCAGAAATCAGCCATCTGCCTGGTTTAGTTTAACTTTCTTTGACTTTCTTTCCCCTATTTGTATATATTCTCATTATGCAGCCTCTCCCAGCCCGCCCAAGCCAGGACAGTGCCCCATGGTTGAGCCTGGCAGCGTTGGTATCTGTGTCCAAGAATGTAACGATGATAGTGGATGTACTGGTGATCAGAAATGCTGTTCCAACGGCTGTGGAAAAACTTGTGTGGATCCAGTTGGTATGCATTTTAAAGTAATTTTGTAATAACATTAAATTTGTCTTGCTTAAGTGTTTTGCCACATAGTGAATTCTTTGGAGTTGGAAAGTTTTAACAATTAAAGTTTTGGATTGTATAGATCATCGAAAACAATACCAATCTCATTGTCATAGGAAGTGGGTCAGAAATCTGTAATCTGTATGCTTTAGTTCAGCTTTTCTTTTCCCTGCTTGTATGTTTTCGCCACACAGCTCCTCCTCAAGAACCCAAGCCTGGCCAGTGCCCTGTGGTTGAGCCTGGTGGCTTTGGTATCTGTGTCCAAGAATGTAATGATGATAGCGGCTGTTCTAGTGATCAGAAATGCTGTAGCAATGGCTGTGGAAGAACTTGCATGGATCCAATCGGTATGCATGTTAAAATGACTTTGTAATAGTAAAAGATTTGTCTTGCCTAACTTTTCTGCCACACGGACAAATTCTACTTAAGCTGTGGAGTACAGAAGTTTTAGCAATTTGAGTTTAGAATTGTTTATGAGCACCAGGAGTAATGAATATCTCATTGTCAGGGGAAGTGGGTCAGAAATCTGTAATCTGTATGCTTTAGTTCAGCTTTCCTTTTCCCTGCTTGTATTTTTTCGCCACACAGCTCCTCCTCAAGAACCCAAGCCTGGCCAGTGCCCCGTGGTCGAGCCTGGCAGCGTTGGTATCTGTGTCCAAGAATGTAACGATGATAGTGGATGTACTGGTGATCAGAAATGCTGTTCCAACGGCTGTGGAAAAACTTGTGTGGATCCAGTTGGTATGCATTTTAAAGTAATTTTGTAATAGCATTAAATTTGTCTTGCTTAAGTGTTTTGCCACATAGTGAATTCTTTGGAGTTAGAACGTTTTAGCAATTTAAGTTTGGGATTGTATAGATCATCAGAAACAATACCAATCTCATTGTCAGCGGAAGTGGGTCAGAAATCTGTAATCTGAATGCTTTAGTTCAGCTTCCCTTTTCCTGCTTGTATGTTTTCGCCACACAGGTCCTCCTCAAGAACCCAAGCCTGGCCAGTGCCCCGTGGTTGAGCCTGGCAGCGTTGGTATCTGTGTCCAAGAATGTAACGATGATAGCGGCTGTTCCGGTGATCAGAAATGCTGCAGCAATGGCTGTGGAAGAACTTGCATGGATCCACTCAGTACGAATTGTTCTTACTTTTTTCATTCTGTGATCCATGGGTTGCGCCTGAATTAACCTTTATGCCACAGAGGAGAAGTGCTCTCAGGTTTAAATTGCAGGCTTCGGAATTGTCACAGTGCTGAACTCGAGACCATCACAACACCATCACAACACCAGAACATAAAATCATGCACAGGACCAGACACAAGTAATAGTGGGAACAATTACAAAGAAATGCTTTTGTTTATTTATTTATTATTTCTCAGGGAAAAACACATAAATACACTGAAACACAAATTAGGAATAGCACCACAAACAGATCTAAAAAAAACCAACCTGATAACACCCCGAAGGATTGCCAAAAAGCGAACTTAATCGCTGTCTAGAGGCTCTCCTAAAATGTTAACAGTTACTAGGTTGGGCAAAAGTGGGACTCACAAACAAATAAGGCAGAGTGGGGAAACACAAAGGGAGGGGGAATAATAAACAGAACTCTGGAGCAAGCTGTGTAGGCCTAAACAAAGAACCGAGGGAGAGAACACAAACCACATGGAATTAAAAAAAGGGGGGGGTTGACCACGGAGGGAAAGAATCGATGAAGCTGAGCTGAAGAGAAGATTGGAAATATGCAGAAAATACAATGTACCATATAAACAGGGACATATATATGAACAATAACCACATAAAGTTGGGAGTCATTTAAATTACACATAAATAAATAAAAAGCCTAAAAATTCATATAACATGTATTGCATTTGGAATGATCTATAATACATTGACAAAATGGCCGCTACATACAAGAACTATAATAAATAAATGAATAACAATGGACAATAGATCGACATACAGAAGATATCAATATGAGTTCAATCAAAAGTAGTGTTTTTTAAGATTAGTCAGGAAAGGAGTCGTGCCGTACAGGATACTATTATCAGTTTCAAGATCCAAAGAGTCCCAGATTCGAGGAAATAGGACAAAGATTGATGGAAGGCGTTAGTTTGAGATTGCAAATGACCGAATTTAACCTGGTTGAGATGTCGAGATGTCGAGTATTGAGGGTGAGATAGTTCAGGATAGGAATATCAAATTTACTGGACAGACATTTAGCTACAAAGGAGATGGAAAGAAATTTCAGTCTGTTCATCAAGAATGGCAAACCCAGCTTGGTGCACCACTCGGAATACTCGATATTATTCTTGTTTTTGATATGTATACATCTGCATGGAAGACCGAGACAACACCAAGTAAACCTTCTCTGTACTCTTTCCAGCGAGCTCTGTTCAGAGACAGAACTTGGGCACCAAACTGGGGCAGCATGCTCAATAATTGGTCTGACAAGGGCACAATGCAGTTTAACCATCACAGCTGGATCTCTACTTTTGACTATTCTTCGAACAAAACTGTTCATCCTGTTAGCCTTACACACTACTGCATAGTTTGCCGTTTCCATGATAAATTTCGAGAAATTACAACACCTAGATATTTATATTGACCAACTGCTTGAAGAATGTGTGGTCCATTGGTATAAGTTGGTTTAGGTGAGCTAGAACGAGAGATTGACATCAGCTTGCATTTCTCAGCATTAAGTTTCGTTTTGGCCAGTGCACACCAATTGTCATTTTGTAGAATTGTTTCATCATTTCTATTATGAATGACCCTATGGAGCACCATGTTGTCCCCATACCGTCTCATTTGTAACCTAACACAAAAAGGCAGGTCGAAAGCAAAGACGTTAAAAAGGAGCCGTCCAAGGACCGAGCCCTGTGGCACACCTGAACCCACTGTAATCCAAGATGAATGAACACCCTGAAATTGAACACGTTGCTGTCGACCAGTCAGATAAGATTGAAACCAATAAAGAGCCGACCCACAAACTCCATATTTATGCAGTCTTTCTAGCAGAATTTCGTGACTCACTCGGTCAAAGGCCTTTGACCAGTCCAAGAAAACCGCATCGATACGGGGTGGGCTAGGCCTATCAATGGTTTCAGCCCACTCATTGAAAACAGTTGCCAACTGTGTCACAGCTTGCTGCGCTTCACCATATTTCTCCTGCTTATATATTCTCTCCACACAGCTCCTCCCAAAGAACCCAAGCCTGGCCAGTGCCCTGTGGTTGAGCCTGGCAGCGTTGGTATCTGTGTCCAAGAATGTAACGATGATAGCGGCTGTTCTGGTGATCAGAAATGCTGTAGCAATGGCTGTGGAAGAACTTGCATGGATCCAATGGGTATGCATGTTAAAATGACTTTGTAACAGTAAAAGATTTGTCTTGCCTAACTTTTCTGCCACACGGACAAATTCTACTTAGCTTTGGAGTACAGAAGTTTTAGCAATTTGAGTTTAGAATTGTTTATGAGCACCAGGAGTAATGAATATTCATTTTCAGTGCAAATGGGTCAGAAATCTGTAATCTGTATGCTTTAGTTCAGCTTCCCTTTTCCCTGCTTGTATCTTTTTGCCACACAGCTCCTCCTCAAGAACCCAAGCCTGGCCAGTGCCCTGTGGTCGAGCCTGGCAGCGTTGGTATCTGTGTCCAAGAATGTAACGATGATAGCGGCTGTTCTGGTGATCAGAAATGCTGCAGCAACGGCTGTGGAAAAACTTGCGTGGATCCAATCGGTATGCATGTTAAAATGATTTCTTAACACATCCTAATATACATTTCCCTGGCTGGTTCCAGTATTCTTGCTACACAAATTGCATTTTCTTGAGCTTGGAGATCATTTGTTGTGTGAGATCATCCAAGCGTCTTCATCCCCCAGATGCAGCTATGTGATACTTGGATTTTTTTATGGATAGTGACAGTTTTGCAGTTCCAGATATTTTTATTTTCCTTATAATGGAAACCTCTCCCCATTCATTGCCATGAAAAACCTTATTCAGCTTTAAAGGTCTTGGGAACTCCCCAGTGAATTTAAACACAAAGAGGAGGATTTGTTTTGAATAGGAAAATGTGACTCAACTTTACAAAATTAATCAGAAATTGACAGTCAGTTTTGAATTATAGGCGTTTAAGGAATCTAGCACATTTTTAATCTTGAATGCTCGTTGCATACAAAATTATCACATATGTCTGGATACCAAACTGAGTGATGCTTCAAGCAGAAACCTAGCTTTCAACATTCTGACATAAAGTAAATCTTTTTGGGTAAAAAAGTAGATTTAAGTTGTGAGATCTGGTCACAAATGCAATGATACCATTACCCTGGCCGCCCCCACTGATCCACCATTCTGCTTCTGTTCCTTTGTGTTTTTGCAGAGCTGGTTGGCCCTGTGGAACCAGTTGGCCCAGTGGAGCCAATTGAGCCTCAAGGTAAAGAGTGTTATTCCCCCTCCCCCATTGTAAGTTTCTCCATACAAGACAAAAAGAATATTTTCACTACTGATAA